CTTAAAAAATTATAGCCAGGATTCCCATTCAAGAAGCTCTAATGTTGTTGCTTTGGCTGAATGCTGTGTCTGTTCCCTGCCTTTGCTTTTCCTTTGCTTTTTTTTTTTTTTTTTTTTTTTTTTTGTGTTTTTTTTTTTTTTTTTTTTTTTTTTTTTTGGTAGTTATTTTGATTTCTCTTTCTCTTTTCCTTCCTTCCTGGCCTTGAGTTTGCCCTCCAGACAAAGAGCAGACAGTGAATTGCAGTGAATGACACTTGTGAGCAAGGAAAAACTGGGTCAGTTCCAAGCTCGTGCAGGGTGTAGGTATAATAAATATAGAATCATAGGACCATTTCAGTTGGAAAAGACCTTTGAGACTATCCAGGCCAACCATTAACCCAGCACTGCCAAGTCCACTAGCAAAACATGTCCCAAAGTGCCACATCAACACCTCTTTTACATACCTCTAGGGATCCTGACTCCATTTCTCTGGGCAGCCTGTTCCAATGCTTGGCAACCCTTTTGGTGAATAAATTTTTCCTAATGTCCAATCTAAACCTCCTCTGATGCAATTTAAGGCAAATTGCTCTTGTCCTGTTGCTTGTTATTTGGGAGAAGAGGCTGTCACCTTGCTGTCACCTGCTTCCAGGTGCTTGTAGAGGGTGGTGAGGTCTCCCCTGGGCCCCACTGTCTGAAGGTTTTTTACTGAGTGAGGAGTTCACCATCTGAACCATGAGCTTTATCCACAAAAATGCTGCAGCAAGTGGTGTCAAAGATTTACTAAAGTCTGCCGGGTAAATGACATCCACAGCCTTTCCCTGGACCACTAAGTGGGTCACCTTGTCCTAGGAGGAGATCAGGTTAGTTCAGGCAGGACTTGCCTTTCACAAACCCACGCTGGCTGGGCCCGATCACCTGCCTGTCCTGTGTGTGCCGTTTGTGCAGGATGATCTGCTCCACAGCCTTCCCTGGCACTGAGGTCAGACTGACCAGCCTGAAATTCCCCACATCCACCTTATGGCCCTTCTTCTAGCAGCTGACTGTCATTCTTGCTGATTTCTGGTCAGCTGGGACCAGCTGAGCTGGCCAGGAGTGCTGGTAAATGATAGAAAGTGGCTCAGTGAGCACTTCCACCAGCTTCCTTGGGATCCTTGGGTGGATCCTGTCTGGTCCCATAGACCTGTGAGTGGCCATGGGAGGTCACTGAGCACCTCCCCTTGGATTATGGGGGCTTCATTCTGCTCCCTGTCCCTGCCTTCCAGCTCTGGGGAGTGGGTACCTGGAGGGCAAATAGGAGGGGAAGGAGACCGCTACCATTCCTTACTCTGCTGTAAAATCTTTTGATGGATGTTGAGGTGATCTAGCATAACTTACTATGACAGAACACTGAGTAATACTGAATGTTGATGAGTGTTACTCATTAAGGATTTACAGTTTTCAGCTGGAATGCTGTCACCATTTTAATTACTTCATGAAACAGCATGCTGAGGTTATAAAGAAAATGCCAATGCCTCTAACATGTATTACTTATTTATTTTTGGAACTGATGCATTCCTATTAGATGGGATTAGAACTTCAGAATCTCCAATTTTCAGGAACTGGATTTAGATTTGAGAATAAGTGTGGGCTGTGTTTTGGCTATGATCATATCACATGGCCTTTTTTGCCCCCCCCAGGCTCTGTGCTGTTAGGTGCAGTGTGCTTTCATACTCTCCTGCACACACTCAGGCCATGGTGAACCAAAGCTACATGCTCTAAGGGCATGTTTTCAGTATCATGGGTGAATCACCAAGCATTTTATCTTCTGTGGAATTGGATATGAAAATGGAATGCTGTTTTTCCCTAGCTTTTATTTCTTTTGAAGGTTTTAAATTTTAATTATTCTATAAGCTTTTAATCTGAAGAACAGTAAATAGAACCAGTTTTATTTAGAAACTAATAAATTGTCTATGAAATGGGTAACTGATGGTGACACACGAGCTTCACAAACAGTTTTCTTCTCTGGAAAAGATCAGTGTTATAGTCTGCTTTCCTCCTACTGTGACTTTGTTATAAAGTACTGTATTTATTCTGTTACACTGAATGCAGCAGTGGGTGGTATAATGATAAACTCCCAAAATACCTAATGGACGTCAGATTCACCGAGAGACACAAAAATCTGCTGGGAAATGAAAGGTTAGTGGAAACTTCTCTGAGATCTGGGGCTGAGGGAAATACCATTTACGTATGGCTTCTCTTCCTGAGAGCAGAGCCCTTGGATGGGATTGGGGGTACCTCAAAGACAGGTTGAAAACAAGGAAACCTGTTTGAGGCTGAGTCAGAACATCCTCAGGTGCAGTTTGCAGTGAGCTGCTCAGCAGCTGGCGGTGGCCCCTGCCAGCAGAGGCGGGGCAGGACAGCCCTGCTCCTCACAGAATGGCAGATTTTTGGGAATTTTGTGAGAGATACACCCTACCTGCTGCAGTGAACTTCACCTCTGGACTTGGGAGACATCCAAGTTAGGAAAACTGCTTTTTAAGTACAGATGGTTACCTTACAGTTTTTTCAGATATCTGCTGAGGACTACGTTATGATAACCATCATTATATTGTTGTGTTGGAAATATTAAGGGTGTTGTAAAGTTTGTTACTGTAGTAAATACCAGTCTAGAGCAATATTGATTGTGTTATGCTTCCTCTTGAGCATCAATATTAGATATAGAGCTGTGTGTGTTTGTTTGATGGTGGTGGGTGTGGTGTTCCTTCTGCTGTTTTGTTTCTGGTGCTTGTTTGCAGGCATTTGGTAAGCAGTGGTGTTCAGCAGAATCTCCAGGAATGAAGGACTTAGGGAGTTGAGCTTTTTGCTGGCAGGGATTGGGATCTGATCATACTCATGCAGTGTAGCATGGCTCAAGTTATATAGAAATGGTGATTTAAGAAAAAAAAAAATTTCAGTTTTAGTAAACTTGTTCCTAAATGTGTTAAAATATGAAAGGATAGTGCAACATGTAGGTACAGGTCTTAAGTATGTAGGTTGAGTATTACAAAACATAAGAAAGACCTGTTGGACAAGTTAAAATCTGAATAAGAAGAGTTACTGGTCTAAGCACTTGTAGTTAGAGTTTTTGGTAATGCTTAATCAGCTTTTGATTACTGTAATTGCCTCTTGAAATCTGAACAGAATATTCCCTTACAGGTTGGTTCATCTGGTCTGGGACAATGAGTGACTTACACTGAGAAAGGAGGAAGTATTTTTGTCCTTTGTTTTCCTTTGGTCTGTAAATAAAAATGATGCCAGAGGATCTACCATGTCCAACCTTAAGAAATGTGATCAAAATAAGCAAAGTAAGTTTGATGTACACACAAACCTGCCATTGTTCATTAAAAGCCTATGTATAAACCCAAACCATGTACTTCAAGCTTATCTCTTCCAGTACATGAATTTCAGAGTAATAGCTTATAACTGAAATAACATTAAATGCTGGGTGTACATTTAACCAAATCTCAATTTCCATACAAATGAAGTTCAGCAGACAAGAACAATTAGTATAGCAAATAAAAAATGACATTTCTTTGTGTTAAAAACTGAAATAGATTAAAATCTATACTTGCTGTGTAAACACTAACACCTGGTGCATCTGTAGTCTTAGCTACTAAAAAACTATCTTAATGTATCAGGCTTTACTAACTGGTGATTTCTTTAATAAAGAAAAGTTAGCAATTGCAGCCAGAAGAACCCAAACTTTCATAATCAGTGATTGTAGTCACTAAGTTTAATTTCTGTATCAAAGCGCTTTGATGAATTGAGAGTCATATTTTGGAGGTTTTAGTTTCAGCCTCTGGTTCCTCATCTGTACCTCTGAATTTGTGAATTGCTGTGATACCAAGGTTTTTGTACTGCTGGAGGGTTCATATTTTAGGGCTAGGAACATAGGTGAGGGGAATGATCTGTTTGTCAGGGATACATTTCTACTTCAGCATCTATTGCTCCTTTTTCCACAGGTTTCTGTAGTGTTAAATCTTTGGTGTCTTGAAAATATAAGGTTGAAATTTAGATTTTGAGAACTTTGATGTGTTCACTCAATGCTTTTCAGTAGATGTTCATTACTACATGTGCCTGAGATAGGGCCTTGTCATTTTTATTGGATGTAACATTTCTACCAGCTGAATTTCTTCTGTATCTCTGTCTTCAATTGCAGCAGGATAGATAATCCTGCTAAAACAGTATCAAAGTTTTCTCATTTACCCAGCAGCTTCTCTTTGCAGGAAATGTTTACAGCTGCTGGCTTTTGCTCCTTGCCACGAGCTGTTTCCACCCCTGCTCCTTGTGTCACCCCAGTGGTGTGTGACCTGGGAACCCTGGTCCTCACTCCAGGCTTTTCTGCTGCTGTGGAGGTGAAGGTCCCAACTGTGTAAATGTTTGCTGTTAGAACAAATATTTAAAACAACAGACACATTAGTAGATGTTCTGTCTTTGGGGCAGACAACTATTATGATGCCCCAATTCCACATTAATGGTTACTGGATTTGTACAGCCATATTTCTGCTGAATTAGCTGGAGCATGCAATCTTTGTGGTTGCAAGGGGACAGACCAGAGCTGGTCTGACTTAATGTGGACAGACAGTAGCTAATTTGATCTAAAGCTTGCTGTTTCAAAGCCAACTGATCACATTCATTTAGGAAACCGAACCAGCAAGGTGAACTTGTTTAGAATCAACATTTTGTGTCATGTGTCTGTTACAGCCTTGGTTTGGTATTGGAAGCTCTAAAATGAGATGTACTGCATTGAAAATAGTTTCACATACTGGACATGGATCCTCCCTGCCTTTCTTTAAAATAAAACAATTGTTTTGAGTAACCATTTATCCCTTGTGTCTTGCATAAAAAGGGGGAAGATTAATAAAAAAATAATTGCAGTTTAGATGTGGGCAGGAGGTGTCTTAGTCCAAATTAACCTCGAAAGTCTTCAAAAATGATGCAGAAAATACAGGTTTCAGGAAGTGTAGTAATCAGGGCAGCTCAGTGATCAGTGTGCATCTGCTCAGGAAGGATGCACTGCAGCTTCTCAGTGCTTGGGCTCCAGGAGGAAAATGTTCTCAATTACACAGAGGGAGTACACGAGGTTGTTAAACCTGAAAGGGCTTCCTGGATCATTCTGTAGTGGCCAAGGTCTGTTTGTTTTGTGAAACACATGAAGCTGGCTGGAAATTAAAGGGAGCATGTGTGCGTGTGTGTTTTATTCATCTATCGTGAAGTCCTTCCTGTGGATAATGCTTCTTGTAAATGGGTTTTTTTTTTGAGTACTTTGCAGAAAATCAGGAAATTATCCTGCTGTAAAGAAAATTCAAAAAGCTAGTTGACCCCTATGTTGAAATGCACAATGAATTCTGTGAAACACCTAGCATTCAACATGCAGTGGGCAAAATCTTCAGAACAAAAGCTCTCTGTGAGCATGTAAGCAACCACCTTGAAAGATTAGGTTTTTCCTGTATGAAACCTCAGTTTTTCTGTTAGTCAAAAATCTTGTTGGTTTTGCTGCTGGCTAGCTTAGAAAAATATGTGACGCCTAAAGCCTCTTGTTTGTGTGGCAGTGTTTAAATTGATTTATAATCTTGTCATTTTTGGTTTGATGAAGTAAATTTCCAACTGTTTTATAAGTTTTCTTTTAAATTTCAAATTACAAGTCCATAACTAGTCTTGGTAAGACTTCTTTCAGATGAATGACTTGTGGATGGGTTGTATTATCTAATAACATATCCAAGCAAGTTGGTATTGGGGTTTTTTTGGCTTTCACTTGACAGTAAGTTTTATCTTGGGTTATATATTTAGCTTGTAGAATTGATGGTCTGAATCTGATTTCAGTTTTTCTGCTTTTAATATCTTGTTTTCTGTATCCATTTTATAGTAGAGAAATGGGTGAAGTGTTACCAGAGAACACACTGTTGTTCCTTAATATTTCTGGCAGACATTTGTTCAGGTGCAGGTGTGCTGGTGAACGAGCAGGTTGCTTGGGGTCTAGGGAATAAACACAGTGTCATCCTGAAAGCATAGAGCCAGCAGGCTTCCTGCAGGTTCATCTTGTCTGTAGCAAACTCTTGAATTGTTCTGTACTTTGTTGTAACTGTGGCATGAGGATGCATTGGTTGGTAAGATTGTTGAGGGTTAATGTTGTAGAAGTGCTCTGAGATAGTGAAATGAAGAGACTGTCATGACACCTCACTGCTTCAAGTGTTTTCACATTCTCACACTGCCTGAACTTTGTGATGTTTTGTAAGTTTATACTCTGTATAGTGCAAAAACTACAATTGCTGCTATTTTCAGTGTTTTAGTTGTCTCCTTTCTTTCCAGCAAATGCCAGATAAATTTAATTGCTCTGCAAGACGATTTCAGTGTACTAAATTTCATCTTGTAGCATAGCAAAGACTGCATCTGATGCTGAAAAGAAAAAGAAGCCTTTTATGTTAGTATTGCACATGTGAATCATTATACTGCTGATGTCACTCATCACATCATACATGAATGCTGGGGGAGGTTGCATTTCCACATTTTCACTTCGAGGCAATTGTTGATGCCCTTGGCTTAATGTTGTCTTGTGCTTCTGCTCCAACAGCTGCTTGCTCTTAGCTGAACTTGTGCCATTACATATTTACCAGTGATTTTGAAAATATGAAATGTTTCTGCGTTTAACAGCTGGTAGAAAGTATGGTTTTAGTGCTGTGTGGAGGTGATAGTTTAAGGTACATTCTTCATCCTTTCTTGCTCTGAGTTACCATCAACAGCTGTGAACTGTGAGGGATATCTGGCTTTAAGGACAGAAATGTACTGATATTTTTGAAATCTTTGCTATTCTTCAAAAGAACTGAAAATATATGGGTGAAGAAGCAGTTTTTATTTACCACACTCCTGGAAAGTACAAAGTCTGACCATGTTTTAAGTGATTACTTGCATTCCAGGAAAGATGGATGGTCCCATAATGTTGTACTATTCAGTACTGCTCATACATCTTCCTGACTGCTGGCGGTGTGACTTGCCTTTTCTGTGGTGGAGATGGGCTTGAGATGTTTTCATTTATCTGCTGTTTTAACTTAAAAATAGGCTACTGACATGAAGTGTTTCACAAGGTTCTGGAGACCAGCACATACCCTGTGCATCCTTGCCCCTCCCAAATATCTCCACTCCTGGGCTAAGTGTCTTACAGCTTTTTTATAGACTTCCATCTATTTTTATGTCTGTGTCTTACTGCTGATGGCTATGGGTTGGGATGGCTTAGGATGGCTTATTGACAGAGATTTTAATTTCACAGTATTTCTTTGTGTCACATTTGCCCCCTCCGCAGCAGAATTGCGTAGCAGTTCATGTTCCTTGGTCTGAAATAATTAGTGTATCTGACAGCATGATCCCCATTGGGAACAATGGTACAGCTGGTCTGAAAGGTGTTTTACTAGAAATGTTTTGTACTCTTCCATGTATCCACATTCTTCAGAGAGGAGTGTCTCTAACACAGGAAGTAATGACATTACAGCATGTAGCTGGCATTTTTTTAATGCCCATAATGCTGAGATGGAGTCATCCTTTTATCTGAACCAGTCATATGTAATTGTACATAAAATAGTAATAGCATGTATGAAGTTGCAGACACACAGAAGTATTCTTGACTGTTTTTCCCTTGTGCAGGTTGGCATTCCTGGTGGGTGCTGCCTGTGAAGCCAGAAGGCTGCAGAATAACTTTGTTCACAGGGTGTATGTGTGTGAATTCCATTGAAAATAAGCAGTCAAAGAAAAAATCAAGTTTATTTTAAAGTACTGAATTCTGCCATAACTATGGGCGGATGCAGTGCAAACCTGAAGCTGGGCTGAGAATATTCTTTGATGTGTTAAAAGATCTGCCACAGTCCCTGGTGTAAATTCTGTACTTGAAGCCGTAGTAGCAAGACTTTCTAAGGAACCTCCCACTGTGCCCTGACCTTGTGCAAAAGTGGCCAAAGAAGCTGCAATCATTTACCAAATGGTGCTTTCTGTGGACTTGACATCTGAGTGCTTTCAGTTTCACCTTGAGGTTTTGGATTTGTTTGATTTGGTGGTTTGTGTGTTGTTGGGTTTTTCCCTCTAAGTTAGAAGGAGATTTAATTAACTCACAGATACTAGATTTTAAATTATTTAGCTTAAAGATAGATTTTAAATTTTCTCTCTTGCTATATTGGGTAAGTGAAGCTTTTCCTCGATTTTTTACATCCCACAACTGTTTTATTCCTGTTTCCCTCTTCAGGCTAAATAAATTCTTTCTTTTTTTTTTTTTTCTGAGGGGGAAGTCATTATGACTGGTAATTTATTTTTTTTTTCCCATTTCGCCTGTGCTCATTCTCTGTTAGCTGTTTGGGCTGCGTAAAGCTCTAAATGGGTGAGAACACTGTCAGGTCTGTTGTTGCCCTCAGCAGTCTGGCAGGTCCGTGTGAGTTCTTAGCATCTTGTGACCTGAATGTTTGCTCTGAGTAGGTGGTTGCTAAGAGGATGTGCCTGCTTTTATTTTTCTAGAAGAGCAGGTCTGTGCTTTACAGAGGAACCAGTAGTAGGACTGGATTTTAGTCTAACATCAAATTAGAAGCCTGTTATCAATATGTTATACCAATTACCAGGTGTATGTGTACAGCTTTTATTGAGAGTGCCTGGTGACTGGGTTTATTACGCCCAGTCATGTTGTTTGAACACTTAAATGTGACCTCTGTCTTGATTTAGCTGAGGCATGTGTTTCAAGAAGTAACAACTGCAATTACAGTCTGCTCTTATATTGTAAACTGTGGATGAGAGAATGCATACCTGTATTTTAAATTCTCTTTTAGTGATTTCCTTCTGCAAGATATTTGCCTACTGGATCCATTCAAAATCAGTATGTTTTACATATAAACATTTTTTTTATGTTTAAAAAGGTGCTCATTCTCGAGACATAAATTACCTGGGATTAGTGCAGCTCACTGAGAGGAAAATGTGCTAAATTGCTCAAAAACAGTGGTTGGAAAATAGACAACCACTGTCTAGAAGAAAGATGGACAATGATGATTAGGTGCAAAAGTGAGCCTGTGGATGGTGTTGGCACTGGCAGACTGGCTGTGAACAAGCTTAGGATTGTTCACTTTTGTAGACAGACTTTTTTATTCCGTGCAAAATGTTTTGAGGGACATAAAATGAAGCTGAGTTATTAGGTTCTGGCATTTGATAGATGGAATTGAAAAAAAAAAGGTTTTAAAAAAGTTGTACTTTTTATAATGCTAATTAGGTGTGACAGTGTAGTGATGGCAAGTAGGCAGTGAACTCAGACGAGCAGGAGCAACATGTTTGCAGATAGTGACAGTTTCTAGTAAAGGATATGTTCACATGGAGAAATTCTACAAAAGAGCTGAAGCTAGAAAGTGAAAGCAGGTTCATGGATATAGATATTGTGTTGCAAGTAGTTCTGTGAAAAGTCTCTAAATCAGATTGGGCATTTGTGCAAGTCTAGTGGGTTCTGGCATACGCAGTGATTGGAATGGAAATAGGATTCTGAGGCTGCTGCATAATGCAGTGCTTACCTATCGAAGCATGTTTGTGTTGAACTTCAGCTCTGGGAAAATTGAACGAGCACTCCTCAGTGCCCCACAAGAAGCAAATGGGTAATGCTGTGGTGATAGCTGCTCACAGGCTATCTTTATCAGGAAGGTGTTACCACGGATGTCTTGAGAGAATTCATTTCCCATACCCTCCTGTCTGTTAGAACCACACACATGCAGTTTAGGACACGAAGTGATCTGAACTGAAGGAGTTTTTAACAGACTGAGTTAACCAGAGATTTTGTCCCTTACGCTTCAGTGATCCATTACATGACAGATGATTAATATATGTATAAATTTGCAAGAATAAATAACATTTCAAACAAAGCACCATTTTTTTTGCTTCTTTCCCAGAGCTCCGCTGCACCCCAGGGCAGTTTGCGTGTCGGAGTGGGACCATTCAGTGCATCCCTTCCAATTGGCAGTGTGATGGATGGCCCACCTGCGAGGATGAGAGCGATGAAGTGGACTGTCCAGGTGAGTAAATCTAAGAGATTTACTTACCCACAGCCCTGTACCAGCTTACTTTGCAGCAGTACTTTGACTCTTTCAGGTTGTTTGGTTATTTTTATTTGAAATTGGTGATTGTTTGGTAGAACTGTAGCCATTATTAACAAAGACCCGAGTTGGCTTCTCTTCATTTTCAGCAGATAATACCACAAACAGTTTTTTGGTTGTCTGAATTATACTTCCATTCTTATGGTCAGAGCAGTTATCCTGAAGTTTAAGAGACTTTCCTGACAAGGAAAAAATGTTGCAGTTAAACTGAAATGACACATAAGCCTGTGGTGAAATTTGGAATTACTGTATATTGCTCAGATGGTGCTGGGTGATATTGCTGGACTTGGGTAGAGAATTTGTTTTATTGCTCCCTGTTCTGATTATGCTTCTTGTGCTTAAGTGGGGAACTTTGTTCAGCCAGACAAGCTGGTGTATTTGCACTTCATAAGCTCCTAGGTATGCTTTGAGGAGCCTGTCACCAGCAGCAGATCTCTGCTAAAGCTACTGGATACTGAGCTGTGCTTAAAAACAAGCAAAGAAATATTGTGACTGTAAAATCACAATTTTGAAGGTTTTCAGTTCTTCTTGAAAAACAGGCTAGGGCAGCTCTTTCTGTATATCTTAAAAGTGAATTGACCTGTAAATTTTTCTGTTAAGAACAATGAGACAGGTATCTGAAAGCATGAATTCAACTGTGGCACAATAGAAAGCTTTTTATCTTTACAGTGTGACTAAATTACATTCAAAAACTGTTTTAAGAAGTTCTTTTCCAGTGTACTACTTCATTTTCTCGTCAGAGAATCACATGAACTCCGTGGCATTGCCATAACAGCATTCATCATTCTGAGTTCTTGGCTATTTTAGAGAGGTGCTACAAAATAGTAACATTGATGTTTTACAGCAACAAATTATTTTAAATTTTCATATTATCTAAACATATTAGAGACATTGAAATTATGAAATTGTGCTAGAGTTAGCCATCTCCCCAGTGTGTACTATGGACAAAAAATTAAAAGAATGTCAGTGCTCTTTTCAGAAAATTTTTTGTTAGTGTGTGTGAATGTGCAGTAAAGGGGAAAAACAGTCAGTAGTTTCTTCTGACGCTGAAAATTAAGCTGTGCCATTGATAGTCTATTTAAGAATATTCTTTACAGTGTGGATGTCCTAAAGAAAATTGCTTTTATATCTGTACTGTTATTCTTCCTTTTTAGCTAACTTTGGCCAAATGTAAGAAAGCCACAGACATAATAAAATTCTGGAGTATAGTGGAATTCAGTGGCTAGGGGAGGGTAGAGTCATGTTAGTGTTTGGTTTTACTCAAAAATCACTGAAGACTTTGCTTGTGGGAACATTTGAACTTCCACATTAATAGAAAACTATTTTTATCTTCTCCTGTTCCTGATGCATTAGTCAGCAACTTAAGTTTTGCTTGGAGTGTGCACCAGGGTGGTGTTGACTGAGAACTGGAGTTCCAAAGAATGTTTGGAATATTGATAGGAGGATTTTATGGGAGTAATATTTCTCAATGCATAGGTTTAGGTGTTGTGTTTGGGGTGTAGACTGTCTAGCCTGACATGATAAGAAGAACTTGAAGGTTAAAGAAATGAAATGTAGGAGAGACTTGGTTCACCTCCATGTCTGTGTGCAGGAAGAGAAGAATAATGTCTGTAAATACCAGAGGGGAAAATGCTGGACAGCAGAGAGAGGAAAGTGTTCCACTTGATGAGAGGAATAATTAGAGAAGTAATTGGTGAAAAGGCTGTGCTCAGTAAAACGGCCAGAAAGCAGGTGTGGTGTTTGTGAAAGAACTGAGATATTTGCAGAGTAATGTGAGGAGTGCAGCCAGCAAACCAGAGGAACAAGAACTACTTGTGTAGGATGTAAAAACTATTATACCTGTAACAATAAACTTGGTGGGATTGCATTGTGACCTGCAATGGGTGTTGAAGGGCAGGTGTTATTCAGAGCTGTCAAGAATAGAAGAGGTTGGTGTGCATGGGAATGCTGTGGTGGAGCATAAAGAGGAGTAGCATCAATGAAAGTAAACCCGAGGGCAGAATCAGTTTGGAAGAGCACAGTGTGCTTGTGTTGAGGGAAGCAGTGACGAGTCACAGGAGAGACTCTCTTGGGACATTGATTGGGGAGCTAACGCTACTAATAATAGTAACAAAGTCATGCTGAGGAGTGGCAACTTTCTTCTTTGGCCACTGAATTAACAAGAAATAATGCAGCTTTAAATATAGAAAATACCTTTGGATTAGATGAGCAGTTGTGTGATGATTCAGCTAAATGTAAATACTTTAATTAAAAAGTTCTTCCCTTCAATAAAGGCAGTCTGAAGACTAAAAGAGCTAGTCAGTGAAGCCACCTGGACTTGTGAAACTTGGAGAATTATAACATCCTTAAATTAAAAGGCATGAAAACTCTCTGAAGCATGAAAAGAAAGCATGCAAGAAAGGGCCCTGAATCTGGTTGTGAAGCTTGTTAATCTTCAGCCTTTGAGCCACTAATGGCACACTCCAACATGAGCAACTGGGAACAGATCAATGGCAGTGAATTAGGGTTTTGTGGTGGTGTTAAAAGTGTGTTTCAGTGACTCCTTAGTCATGTTGGTGTTTTGAAAGGTTTGTTACAAAGCCATTGTAAGCTGTTTGCCTCTGTTGGTTCACCTTTTTTAGGCCTAATTTCATTTGTGTTAGTCACAAAGGTCCTATTAAAAGAAGAGGATCCATGATTAATAAATTAGTTTGGTAATCATGTATTGGCTGAAGCGCAAGAAACATTCCAAATTGTAAGACGTTTCGTTTGAATTTCTTCTGGCATTGTTTTCAGAACACAAGTAAGACATTTAATTCATTGACTATCTGAATAAGTGTGTGAGATGCCTATTTTTTGCCATATTTTTCTGAAGATTGTCATTATAGCTGTTTTTATTCTTACTATCTCCTATCACAATGACCATTTTCCTTTAAAACACGGAATTCCTTTCAGTCCCAAATTTTCCATGTGCAAAGTACTGTTCCCACTGCCCTTCCCACTAGGCACCCATGTGTCAGTGGAATTTGCAGCAGTGATTTCCCTCAATTCATCTCTCTGGCAGACTAAAACCAGTGTCTGCCTACTTTTGTGAGCAGTACTAAAAATTGCTGGGAGGGTTTATTATGTAGCATGTGCCTTTAGCAGTGGAGCTTCAAGAAATTTGTGGACTCTTCCATGTCAACAGTAATTGATCCTAAAAATAGTTTATCCCAAAGTGGTGTATTTTATGAAGTGGTAGAAACAGGCATTAATATCTTAAACAAGAACTTTTACAAATGGGAATTTATTCTTTCTAATCACTTTCTCTCATGTTTCTACACAAGCAATCAAAGTAAAAACATTAACTTTTTCACCTTTATAAAAATTCTGTATTTAAACCCATAAGGGGGAAGGGATCTGCAGTTTACCTTTTATTGCTTATTGGATTTCCAGCTTTACTTCTACCAGAATATCAGATCAGCTTCTGCAGATACCCTGCCTTCTTTGCAGGCCTTGTGGTGTAACTCATTTTCAGGAGGCTGAGCAGAGCAGGGTTTAGTAGAGCTCTGGCTGTGTTTTCCTCCCAAACTGCAGGCTTGATGTTTTTTTCTGTTGCCTATGAATGAAAATGGATGTCTTAAATTCAAGTGCCCTTCATAAATCCTATCCATATCAGTTTTACATCTTTCCCTTCTGATGAAGCAGCAGCTGCAGCAACCTGTTTTGAAGTGATCAAAAACAGCTTTGTGTTTTGTTTCACCAAGGATGTTTTGTATGGTTGAAGTGACTCTTGACATTTGTGCACTTTTTAGTTCATCTCTTTTTTTAAAAGCTAGGTATTAATAATAAAAACTTCTGAGCATTTCCACACCTTTCCTGAGCCCTTGCTGAACTCCTATTTTTTTTTTTTTATCCTACCTTGTGGTGTTTAAATTATAAGCTGTTTTCTGCCAGTCCATTGCCTTGAATAGCACTCAGCACAGCAGGACGCTGTTCTTGCTTGGCATTGATGTCCTTGCACAGTACAGTTGATAACACACAGCGTGGAGCTGCTTGATCTGAGAAGATTCACTCCTCTCTAGGAGCTTCTGAACTGTATTTCCAAATACTGAGGCACAAAACTGGACTTAATCTTGAAGTTCTCTCACCTCTTAAATTACCAGATGGAATTAGAAGCTTTCTAAGCTTTCAGTAGGTAATATGCTGGACAGAAAATTTGAAGCTTTGGGGAGAAGGCAGCTTTTATGTAAATTTTGAGAATCTGTGTGTTTAAACAGGAGCAACTCAAATCTTGGAACTAATAAGATATGGCAAGACCTGGTTGCTTTACAGGCAGTTTAATTTTGACATCATTTGACATAATACATCCATCCTTATGAAGGGTTTTGCTTGAGTGACTTGACATCTGTGACACAGTTTTCCAAAAGGTAGGAGAAGCCATCAGCATGGCAGACTTCTATTCTGAATTGGTAGCTTCAAGTTTTAAACAACTGAAAATAGCCACAGAACCACCACTGTTACACAACTTTCTCTTGATGGATAGCCCTATACTTAGACTATAATTGTGCTGGAGAGAATTAGATAGCAACTGTAAATTGGAAGGAGCTGGGTGAATACTAATCATGACTTGATCCATTGGGAAACACACTGGAGGATGCTTGTGTTCACCACTCTAATATTCAAAGGGTGAAAAAAAATAGTGCCCCATGAGTTTTTCCTTGAACCCATTTTTTCATTTTCTGTACCAACTAGCCAGCAAATGACATTTCTGGAGTAATTATATAAAGTCAGAGAAACAGATCTATATCTGTCTTGGCTAGTAAGAATACCACTGTTGCTTTTATTGCCCGTGGTTGTAGTATTTAAAAGAATAAAGATCTTGAAAACTGATCTTCCAAAATTCATTGCTTTCAGGATATGAAGTGTGCATGTAAGCACTGAAAATGATGGCTTTTCCCTTGTGAAACATTCAAACAGGGTTAGGTTCCGATCTTCTGAGTTAAGTTGTTATCTGAGTCCATGGCACTCTAATTTATTTTTAAAGATTAAATTATTTGTAAAAAGGAAGTAGGAACAGCACATAAAATTCTTCTGCAGAGGGTTGCAAAAGTGGAGTAGAAATCCAGTCCAATTACACCTTTGCCACCAGAATCTGCAACAGCTTTTCATGGCAGTCAAGTGACTTAGAGGCTTGTTAGCATCTCTTTATTGCCCTGGAAAAAGTTGTCTTCTTGGGAGACAGATATTCAGGTCAAATAGAAGCAATTTAATATTTGAAGAGCACCAGTTTATTAAGCAGCTGACAGCATTGGGCTTGAAGAAGTGGCTTGTGGTGGCTACTTTGTGCCACTTCAGTCCTGGTTTCTGCAGTGAATCTGCTGACAAGGGGAGATGCTGAGCAAGGAATGAGTTCTGCTTCCTGAGTGCAGATGATGGAACTCTCTTTATGTGGGATCTGTGTAGCTATTTTTCAAAGCATCTGGCATAAATTCTGTTAATTTAGGATGTTAGCCTGTGTAACCCTTCCTTAACCTTGCATGTTAAAACCTGTGAACTTTTGTTTTATTCCTGGGGGAGATAAAGTGTTAAGTCCTCGTGGGCGTTCTGTTTAGCTGCGGAGGGTCAGCCATATGGTGCTGCATCTGCTCTTGCTTCTGAGAGAGAACTGATTCTTCATGTGTTTGGTTCTGACTGGTTCTTTGGGTTTTGCTGTTACCATTTAATGCCATGGGAAAATAGAGCTCCCCATGCTGAGCTCAGTAGAATTGGATAAAGCATTCTACATTAGTTAGTGTTATTTTTAAAGTCTTGCTATAATTGAAGATTTGCTTTTTCAGCGTCTCAGTATCACTCTGAATATGATAGTGTAAATAGTGCTACTGAACCATTAGGATTAAAAACAGATTCTAAAACTAAAAATAGATTAGCCTTTAAAGTAATAAAAAATCAGTAATGTTTTATTACTGTCAAATAATTTTACCATTTTGCCTCCTTCGAATGAAATGTACGCTGAGTTTCTTGACACTGACTTCTTGCCTGTGATAGATAGTGTATTCTAATACTGAACACCAGAATTTCTGCTTTATTCCTGTAAGGCCATGTGAATATATTATGCACAGCCATTCCTTAATGGGTGATCTCTGTAGACATGTAATTCCTAGGATAACGTGATAATTAAATAGCCCTTGCTTATCCCATTAACCCAGGGCAAACTCAGTATGCTTGAGACAGATGAATGCAAAGCAACTCTGCTGTTCCTGGGCTCCAGCAAGGGATTTGTTTTGCTCATCAATGCCTACATTTGTTCCAAGGAGTGCACTGTTTGATGTTGGGTCTTGTGGAGGTCTTTCCCCCAGGTAATGCAGTGAACAGCCTGCAGCTCGGGGTTTAAATTACCATGAAATTGCTGTGGACCTCTTGCTTTCCAAAGATAGTCTGAAAAGAGAGAGTTTTATTGACGTGGTTTCATATGTATTTCAAACAGATATGGTTAAACCTGTTGAAGAAGACTGTGCAGCTTCTCTTTATTTGGGATCATGACTTTGTTTGTTTGGTTTAGCAAGGCTAAATGGAGCTAATCAGCTTTAAAGGAAAATAAGGAGATTTTTTTTTTATATAGAAATGAATGTCTACATAACTCTGTGCTGGTTAAACCCTATTACCTTCAATAACATCTAGTAGTATTAAGTAACATACAAGCAGACATGTATAATGCTTATATTGTTCGTTTTTTTTATTTCTCTCTTTTTAAGGTTAATCTCTTGTTTCCACATTAATCGTTCTTGGTGCCCATCTCCATCTCTCTCTAAGGTTTCTCCCCACCACTGTGCCAGCCTTCCTGCTTAGGAACCTGCTGGTTGTGCTGGCTATGGCCCACCCTGCCTCCACCTGAACTGGGTGTTCCTTATTTACTCCTGGTAGGCACATGGAGCCCTCCAGCCCCTTTTCTTGAATAACATCTTACACTGTGTTCTTCCTAAGTTACTGAACCTAGTGGTCGTGTACACCTCTTAACCTTGACACTGAGATGAGGGGCTGTGGGGGTTTATTTCAGAAGTCATCAACTAACTTTTCCTTTAGAAGCTTGAGAGTGAACAAAAAACCCTCCTTCTGGTTGAAGATCAGTCTCCTTTCCTGGTTTTAATTACATCCTACATCTCAGAGCATGTGTTGGAAAATGTATTGGAGGAGTTGTCTTATGTCCTTGAACACACAGCTGAGGAACAAAGCAGCTGGGGAGTGGGTAGTTCTGTAAACAGGAACAGATACAATATGCTGGGGATGATGCATTTGCTGCAGCAGTTGAAATGATGGGCAGCAAGTCCTGTGCACAATTGCAGGCTGGTGAGAATCTGCCAAAATATTTTGTTTACCTTGCAAGACTCATGTAATGGCTTGTTGGTTCTTTTCAATTGAAGGTATTTCAGCTACCTGCTGAGTAAAATGGCCAAGCTGTTACTGCAGGGACCTGCCATCTTTGCTTACCTGAGTCAGGTATCACACGTGTCTTGAATTAAAACCCAGGGAAAGTTTAATAAAACAAAATCTGCTTTTGCTTGCATCTTTCACCAGTACTAACTATTGCTCCTGGTCCCCAGGCTTGACAGGGGACCAGCGAACTTACCATGGGAAGGAGAGTGTGGACTCGAGGCACAGCTGGGGCAGAGCAGGGGACACCACCCGCTTCCACACCGTCAACATGGCACAGCCCGTCCGCTTCAGCAGTAAGTTGCAGACTGGGAAATCTGGGCCATCTCTCTGCTCATTAATTTACAAATTTAGGCTATTTTTAAATTAAAAAGTAATAGCCTTTTCTCTTTCCTAGCTTTTTGGCCAAACTTTGACATGCAATGCTATTTCAGGTGTTTGTGTGTTTCTTTTATGTATGTCCTGCATGGTTTATATAGCAGACCAGTACATGCAAAGAATGCTGTGTCCCTATTAATCCTCTCTTTGTGAAACAAGAGTTGCAATTTTCTGTTACAACTCATTGCAGAGTTGTAACAGAATAAAAAAGGATAAAAAACCCAAAAGAAACAAAACAGATTCAAGAGGCTTGAGAGCAGAACTGTGAATTGCAATGAACAGAAAACACTTTCTGAATTTTGAGTTTCTTAGGCAATTCAAAATTAACAGTACAAATGCAGGTTTAAATGTCATCTCCCTGTCCTGTGATTCTCTCTATTAGTCACCCATCACCTCCAAGAATGTTGGTCAAAAGCCCATGGGCCTGTTTTGTCCAGAAAAGCCTTAAGGCTTTTGTTTCAGGTTCCCTCAGTTGAGTTAATTGACAGAAAGCAGAGACAGCAGTTCACAACATCGCCTTCTTACTTCCTAAAGGTCTGCTTTACCATGGTGGTTTTTCCAAAGCAACCAAGAATTTCCCCAGAGCTTCTGTAGTCTTCAGTGATGGAGTCTGGGGGCAGGCAGGATTGTATGAGTACTGTTGAGACTGTTAAGAGTAGGTTGAAAACTTCAAAGCAAGTTGAATGTATTGCTAATCGCCTAATAGAAACACACAGTCATTAAATTGGCCACCTCTGGGGTTTTTGTGCTGCTTGTTTTTGCTTGGATTGATCAAATTTATTGGTTTTATAAAGATGTGCAGGGAAATGTCTTCCACAGTAGATGGTCAGTCTTAATGAAAGATTTTAAAGGCTGTGACAATGTGATGGGACTTTACTAGGAACTTAATGTTTTTAAAAACATGTGAAAAAAAAAAGCAACATTTGTCAGAAACTGTAGTACAGTCTTCAGGGATCTGTAATGTGTGCAACTCCTCCTGTGGAGGTGAAGTGTACACACTGTTGTGTATACATGTCCCAGTGATAATTGATTAGGATGCATTATATTAAAGATCCTAATTTGGGGGGAACGGTTTCCCTTCTATTCTTCATGTTTCCTAGGAAAGTGCCCAACAGGATGGCACCACTATGAGGGCACAGCCAGCTGTTACAGGGTGTATTTAAATGGGGAGAACTACTGGGATGCTGTGCAGACATGTCAGCGGGTGAACGGATCCCTCGCCACCTTCACCGCAGACCAAGAGCTCACCTTCATCCTGGCACAGGAGTGGGACTTGGAAGAAAAGGCATTTGTCAGGAAGGACCAGCGTAGGTGAGTAGGGAGAAAAGGACAAAGATCTCATGTTACAGAGAATAGCTTCTGTGTGCTACAAACGCTGGTGGTTCAGTTTGTGTGGAAAATCTAATGGTAAAATTTATGTCAGGTGAGTGAGCCGGTATGAACGTGCTGGTTGGCTGTTTGGCAGTGCCCCATCTGCAGTTTGTTTTAATTAATATTAACAGATAATTCAATTCAGCAGAGACTTCTTATCAACAGTCTTCTTATCTTCAGGTTGTCTTAGCAAGGTACAGGTATTCTTGAACTGTGTCAGGGAAGGTGGATTTAACAATGACTGCTGCTGCACTGCCTTGTATAGAAATAATTACTTAAATTTTTCAACAAGATTCTGATTTCCATGAAATACCTGTAGCTCTAACAAAGAGCAGCTTTGAGATAAGAATGAAGTAAAAAGGCATTTTGAGTTGCAATTACTGTGTTTGGGTGGTTTTAGATATTTCATTCTGTTCGTTCACAACAAACAAGTCCTCCTCCTTCTGCCTGTGGGTTTTTTGTCACTCATGGGCTGCCATGACAGATCACCAGGAGTGGCTGAGTAATGGTGTGTTTCTGTCTCTGGGGAGTTAAATGGTTTAATCCAGAGCAGTCTGACCTAAGTTGTTTATGTTCAGGAATACTTGACTTCTGAATGCTGCTGTGTGATTTTTGGGTTTGAGATACTGAAGTGCTGCCATGACAACAGAATAAGGTGCTGCTTATGAGTAGAAATAAAGGACACAATTATAATTTGTAAATCTAGAAAACTACTAAGTATTTTATCAAGTATTTTCCTCTGTTCCTCAACTGTAGTCTCTGTACATTGCCAATGTATGGGTCAGAAAGATAAGAGAAAAAGTCATCAAAACATTTTGAAAACATTGCTTTTACATATGAGGACATTAGAAAGTTCTGTGTAATTTAATTTGTTACTGTGTTTTTGGCCTGTATCTTTAGATTGTAACTTGGTTTGTTTTGCAGGTTCTGGGTGGGATATCAGTATGTGATCACCAAACGAAATCACTCTCTGGAAGGTCACTGGGAAGTAGCTTATAAAGGTGGGTCTCTCAAATTGCTGCTTAGTTCAGTGCCCATGGAAACTGTGTTAAAACATGAATATGATTCGAAAAAACAACATGACTTCTTTCACTGGTAGTGCTGAAATAGTATAGGTGAACTGCTTTGCTTCTCAGGGTAGAAGTGGAAGAGTTTAATACTCAACACACCTCTTACTTTAAAGTTTAAGAAGTTTTATGGGTTTTCACGCTGGCATGGAAAGAACATGTGTTTATTTGGACTTTCCCCTTGATTAAATGAGAGAAAGGAAACAACTCTGTAATTTCTCATTCTTTGTGGTGAATGTTTAGATGAACTGCTGATTCCTGGTTCTAGTATTTGCAGACTAGTGTAGCATGTTTGGAGATTTTAGCTTTTAAAAAATTGTTAAAATTTTGTATACTAAAACAACACACTTGAATTTTTGCAGAAATTACACAGATTTTTTTTCTTATTAAAATATTTCAGGTAGTTTACTTAAACCCTGTCAGAATTTGTAATCCCAGAAATAGATCTCATTTTATATGAAAAACTGAACGTTAATTTGATGGGTGTCACTGGCTAAACCCTTTCAATTGCAAAACAAGCAGCTCCCTCTGCTGAAAATGCAAAGCTATGTTTCTGCACCTTTTATCATTAGCTGATTCAGTTGAGAGATTAAAGTCATAATACAAACTCTTATGTGTACAGTTGCCTGTTTAATTCCTGTACTGGTTTAGGTAATGGAAAATTTACAACAAAGTTGTTGTTTTTTAAGCAGCAGCACTGTGAATTCCAGTGTAGCATTTGAAAACTAACCTGGATAGGTTTTTTCTCACGCATAGTTTTCAGTATCCATGGAAAATAGGAAAATCTAAATTTCCTTTAGGTACAGACACATAGTTATGATCAGAATTTTCAAACAATTGGGTCTTGAAAAATACTTCCTTTGACACAAGAATACAAAGATTCTCCTTAAAAGGACCTTTCTTTGCTCTTTGGAAAGCTGACTGCACTGCCATCTGCTGACAAAGTGGTCACAACAGGGAGGCATGAATTGCTGAAAAATCATCATAACTTTATTAGTTTTATTTAATTTGATGCATTATATGAATTTAAACCTTCTCAATAACATATAATCTTCTGTTTTCAAGCTTTGCGTTTAACAAAGAGATGCCTCTACAAAGTAAAGTACATAGTAACATTCAGTAGTTTGTGAAAAACTTTTCTTAGGCTTGTATTGACACAGACTCTGAATTCCTAATACCTGTTTGAAAAGTGATTTAGGGCTCTATAGCTTGAAAATTTTAATTTATTGTTGTGACATGCGGTACATAAGCCCTCCAGAAAATGCCCTCAACACCTTTTGCACTGTTTGGAGCCCACCAGGATGCTGTTTCATGATTGAAAGGACCAAACAGTGGATGCCCTAATGCATCCCCTCACACGTGGAGTGGCTCTGCGAGGGCTGCACGGGTGGATGCACATCTTTGGAAGCACTGGTGGGTGCATGGAGTGCCAGGCACAAGATTGCTGTGTGGGTTCTTGCTCCACCAGTAGCAACTGTGACCAAACTCAGCGTGGTTTGAGGAGGTGTATAACTATTGTCAGGCAAACCCCATGGGCCTCTGTGGAGCAGCACTTGTGGAGATGCTGGAGTATCACTTGTGGTTCAGAGTGACAGAATTACCCAGTACTTTGAAAACAGCAGCTTCTTTTCTGTGTGAGTCACCCCTTCCCTCCCAGCTGTTTGCCTTCCCCAGAGCTGTGCTGCTGGTGGCAGCTGGTGCTGGAGGGCTCTTTGTATTGGAGTTGGTGTGCATGAAATGAGTGATGGTACAGAGCTCTGTAAGGCTTTACGCACCCCCAGGCTGCTAATGCCAATGAATCTCGTTCCAGGCTCTTCAGAAGTGTTTTTACCCCCTGTTCCTGAGGTTGACACGGATATGTCTGAAAAGGAAAACGTTCTTTGTGCCCAGCTCCATTGTTTCCGTTCTCCTACCCTCCGGCACCACGGTTTGCACAGCTGGTATGCTGAAAACTGCTATGAGAAATCTTCATTCCTCTGCAAAAGGAGTAAGTTGGGTTCAGTTCAGTCTTAACTGTGTTGTGTGTTTAAATATGCATTAATAAGTAGTTGGAAATTGTTTCATTACCCTTTCTAATTTTTGCACAGTGAATTGGGAAAAAAAAAAGGTGGAGTTATATTTCTGCTTGATTTTAATAAATAAGAGCATCATAATGTGTGGCTGTCACACAGTACAGAGCTTTACTAAAAATCATTAGGCAGCAAAATAAACTTGGGCAAAAAAAAACTTTTCTGATTTTTTTTTTTTTTTAGAATACCATATTAGTAAACATTGCTCTTAAATTATTAATTTCACATTAAAATGAGGAAACACTTATTTTAGAGTGTAGCAAATTCTACTAAATTCTTTCCAGCTAATTATTAGACCTAGAAGGGAAAGACAAGTGGAGCTCATTGACTTAAAAGAGAGAGAAAAAAAAAGCTTTTGTTCTGTATCTTGCATTCCTGTACTCCAAAAGCCTTGATACCAACAGAGGTATTTGCAGTATTAGCAGGTAATCTTAGACATTACCTGATCTAGGTGGTGCTTCTTTGCAAGGAGAAAAGTTGTTTAACTTGAGGGTTATACAGGGTGCAGCTGACTGCCAGGGAAGTTGTGCAGCCTCTGTCCTCAGAGGGTTTTATGACCAAATTAGATAAAACTCTGAGCAATCTATTGGGATGTCATGGCTGACCCTGCTTTGATCAGAGATGGAGCTGGAGACCTCCTCAGGTGTCTCCCAGTGTTACCTTCCCTGTGGACCCCAGCAGTTGACCTGTGCAAAGGGGAGGGGACAGGCCATCCTCCCTGGGCAGTCATTCCAGCTGCCAGCTCCCAGCACTGTTTTCTCTCTCTGGTTTTGGCACCTGCCTTTAGGTCAGTGGGTAAAAGGCAGCAAAGCTTCCCCTGCTGGGCAGGGATCAGGATGCTGCTAGGACAGTGGAAGTACTATTGCCTGGCTCCCTTTTTAAGTCCTGGCCTGTGAAAAGGCCTTCAAATTTGGTCTAGAAAAGATCCAGCTTTTCCTAATACCAGGAAAGAGGAAGGAAGCTGCAGCAGGCTTTGGCAGTGAAGGTTAAGCTTCTCAGACCACTTGCTTTCCTCTATCTTGGAGAGGATGCTTGGAAGTGCGTCAGTTCCATTAAATACCTCAAACTCACCTTGTCAGTGAGCTGAAAATCATCTGTGTCCCTGGAGACCATCCATTATCCTTCCTACTCCCTGGAGATCCCTTTTCAAAGTTCCTTAATGTGAAGGCCTGGATTTTAACTTAGCCTTATGTTTACAAATCACTTAACAAAGGAAGCTGGATTCCATGGATATTGATGTGCCTGTCTGTTCTAGGCCAGACCTGTGTTGACATCAAAGACAACATTGTGGATGAAGGCTACTACTTCACTCCCAAAGGGAACGATCCCTGCTTGAGCTGCACGTGCCACAACGGTGAGCCTGAGATGTGTGTGGCTGCCCTGTGTGAGCGGCCCCAGGGCTGTCAGCAGTACCGCAAGGACCCCAAGGAGTGCTGCAAATTTACCTGCTTAGACCCAGGTAAGACTCTGCTGCTGCAGTTTTGTCAGTAAAAATTAGTTGAGTGCTCGACTTGGGTGTCTTTGTTTGAAACAGCACATCCTTGCAGTGCCTCTACATTGCTGGGTTCAACCACCCCGTGGAGAAGGGTCTCCAATCATAGGGAACACTTCAGACTGTGGCTGGTAAAAATTATTTATCTCTGGTGCTACTTAGAAAGGAGAAGCAGTAGTTTATTTTCAGTTTGGAGAGGGACAGTACTGTGGGTTTTTAGTAGAGCATCTGGTACATTTCCTTTGTCATGTTTAGTTGTCATGAAAACAAAACACTTTTCTCTTGAGCACTAATTAAGCATCTTTTTCTGGTCATGAACATATTTATGTGTATGGAAGTTTTCATGCAGGGATCATGTGGGAAGCAGAGTTTTTAAATTTTATAGTTTCAATAATAATCAGGACCTACAGCCTTGGCTATTGGATTTGGTACATCAGTACAGGTTTTTGTTTTGGATTGATTAAGTCAATGAAGTTGCCTTTGAACTGTTTGTTGGTCACTGTTTTGGGGTGCAGATTTTGGGGAGGTTATTTTTCTGTACAGAAAAGAAATGTAGCTTGGTTGGAGTTTACTGTGAGAGTGGTCAGATACCGGAGCAGATTGTGGAGTTGCCTTCTGTGCAATCAGTGCCTGATTGGACTCTGTCCTGCACAGGCTGCTCTAGCTGATGCTGCTTGAACAGGGGTTGGACTAGATGATCTCAGGTTGTTCCCTTTAACCTCAGCCATTCTGTGATATTGGGTTGTTTGATATTTTAAAATAACCTAGTCTTACCTGAGTGCATTAAGAAACTATTTTTTTGAACTCCTGTGGAAAACACAGAAAGTCAACTCTTCCATCAGAGGCTTCTATTTCAATCTGTTACAAATAAAGGGGTGCTTACTGCCTTCCAAATTTGCAGTCTTATTGGTCCTAACTAGAGAGATTAATCATTAAAGGCCACTGTCTCTCCTTGTGTCACATTTGTTCTGAGGGTTAAGCTTAACAGATGTTTGCAGCTAGTGTGGCAGGTCTGCAGTGAAAGAGTAGGAAAAAAGCAGGAGTCTTCCTCCCACTCTTATCAGCTGAGTTAAGACTTAGGCTTCACTTTTTTTATCTGCAGGAACAATGTCAGCAAAGCATCATCCAGCAGACAGGATAAGATGACCTGGGATAACCTCGTGTCAATCCTTGCTTATTGCTGTGGGTCTTAACTATTTCATGAATACTGATTTGAGGAGTGTATTTTACCACATATTTTCTTATCCTTAAGCTCTTCTTCTGTATTGATGCTAAATGAGACTTTCATTATACTCTTGCTTGAAGTGTTCTGGTGGATTTTTTTAGTAACTTAGTTTTTTAGAGAGGATTCATCAAGCTGTCATCCAACTTCTTTCATCATGAAGTTACTTCAGCTAGTGATAAACACTGAAAATTTTAAATTAAACATTTCAGTTTTCCTTCTGGGTGGTTATAAATGACTATTCCAGATGACAAAAATTAATGAATTACTTTCTTTAATCAGCATGTATTTATCTTTGTCCAATTCTTTCATGTATCTTCCCTAAGCTCTGTTGCAAAGGAAAGAAAACAGTTTACTAATCAACAGTAAGTAAGTTAATCACCCAAGGAGAGACCTGGGGAAAATAAATCCTGCTGTTGGGTTGGCAGGTAATCAGCTCTTGCAGCGTAAGTGGGTGAGCAACGATTACAAGTGGTAACAAATATTACTCAAGGACTTGGTAGTAGGGGGATTTTTCAGTGGTAGGAGTAAGCTGAGCAATCACAGCTATACTCACTTAAAAGATGCTTCTCATTTAGCCAAAGATAAATAGCAGAAGAATATTTTGAAACCAAGATAGTCTGTCTATTGCTGCTCCATGTTGAGGTAGAAAATAATTTTTCTGTTGTGGCTCTTGTTTAGACAGACCTGCAACTGTGAAAAGGTAGTAGAAGAAATAAAATACTTGGAAAGAACTGATGTGCTGAAGCTTTTCTAGTGACTGAACTGATGCAGTTACAGGGCACTACTGAGGGTGAAAACAAGTTTTCTGAAATAATTTGTTTTGTATTTATGTGAGCTTCAGGTGTCTTTGATCTCAATCCCACCCTAGAGTCCATGCCCACTTCCTGCCGCACATTCTTGCACCTGCACTGTACTGTGGTGTTGTTCTTTCTCACAGAAAAGTGCTGCCCTATCTCCACCTAGCTCCCCTTCTCCAGACAAATCTTGTTCTTTCTCATGGCATGTTAATACCAATAGTTCTTAGTTATTAACAACAGTTCTCATCTGTTGTTACTAACAGTCCTTGGCTGGCTCCACAGCCGCCTGATTGTTGGTGTTTGAGACATACACATGAACCCCTTATCTGGGAATTGAGAGATCAGAAGGATCCCACTTTGGGCTCCTGTTTATAGGGTCTCAAGAGAATGGGCTCTAGTTGTGGTAATTTTCCATCCTGGCTACAGTTGGAGTCAGTAACTTACTTTGAGGGTGCAATAACAAAAATACCACTCCAAGTGGATTGCTATTCAGGCAAGAAAAATAAGTTTCCAAGGCTGTTCATTAAAAAGCAGATGTTCTTTAGACACCTGTTAGTTCCTGGGAGCAGACAGTGTTTCTGATAAGCCCAAGAGAGCTTAGTCCAAGTGCAGCTCATCAAGGCTGAGGTCTAATGAGCATTTCTCAGGTCATAGTGCAGCCTGCAGAGGGGAGCTGCACCACCAGAATCCATTCCACGGCTAAAGTCATCTTCTCTGGGCCTCTGCACCTATGTGTATATTTTACTAAAGGCACTTCAGTGTTACTGGCAGCCTTGAATATTCCGCAGTGATGGTGGAGTCGGCGTGGCCGTAAGGTGGGGGAGGAGCAGGGGCAGGTCTGTGCTGTTCAGGGGGCTCTGCTGGTTGGGAGGTGTGTGACTGCAGCAGTTGAAGCTCTGTCAGTGGTAGTTGCTAAAGGGTTTGACAGCATCCAGGCTTTTGTGCTGCACAGCCAGATCTGAGAGGGTGTAATGTTCAAGATTTATGCGTAGCGTGCTATTAAATGAATTTCTTCTTGCCAAGAAGGCGTTACATAATGAATGCCAGCCTGTTAGGCACGTACTGGAATGATAGAAATTAGGTGGATTTTTCTGTTACTAGCATGTGTAGCAAACTAATACTTAAAATTTTTGTGAGGCTTTTAGCCTTCTTTTATAAGGAATCTTTGATAATACATCAGTTATTGTTAGTGAAAGGAAAAGTATGGAGGGAGCTCTTGCTGCTCAAGTGGGTGTGGGAAAGGAGAGGTGGCCAGGGTCTGGCTGGTTCCTCTGGGAAGTGGCCCTGCAGTGACTGGGAAGAGGGACCATCCCTGCTAGTGTTTGTCTTGCCGCAGCAGGTGACCACGTTGTGAGGCCACCTCGTCTGTTTCTTACCCACCCCTAACCTGGGTGTGTTTCTCATTCAGAACTCTTTAATGGGAAGTTAGTGCCAAGAACACAGTACATCATTTTTAGGACATTTTAGTTTGTGTAGAGTGCCTCTGTGTGCGTGTGTGCTGTTTAGGCATAACCCAGTGGGATTAGTTGAATTGTGAGAAACTAACGCCTCTTGTGCCTGGTGCTGGGAATACAGTGGTAATTTGTTCACAAGAGCCTTCCCTGTGTGGGTCTGGTTAACAATGGGATAGGGCTCTCCACGTCCTGAGCTCTTGGGTCTGTTTCTTGTTCTGCCACTTGCTTTTGGTATGACTGTAGGAAAAGGTTCAATTCCCATTCACCTTAATCTCTTCAGTTCCTGAATGATGATTACCGTGTTCCTATCACTTAGTGGTGCTAACCAGTGTACTGGTGACATGTGGAATTTAGATAGCCACATCTGGGTGACAATGACAACGTTCAGAAATTTTTTAATTGCAAATGGAATGGTTAGGATGTTCAGAAGTTATAGAGTGTATAGATATGCCAGTTCTCAAGCCTTTTCCTCTTCAGTATAATATGATCAGCCATGCAAGCAAAACAAGTGGATGTGCAAAATGCCATAACCTTTCTTTTTTCCAGTTTTCAGAGGCCTGAAGCCTTCAGTGTTTTGCCCCTTTTCCTGAGGAAGATATTCTTAGAAACTTTCAGATCTTCTTGCAGTAAAAAGATAAATCACCTGATGATTCATGATTTTCTTACGTATTTGAAATACGGAGAAGTGTTAAACCAGGCTAATGAATCTCCACTCTACGTTTATCTCTCCGTTACTGACAGAAAAACATCAAGAAAAATGAATCTTGAACAAAAATAACAGGCTGTTTTTATATGTTTGATGAACAGATGGCAACAGCCTGTTTGACTCAATGGCCGGTGGAATGCGCCTGATCGTGAGCTGCATCTCCTCCTTCCTCATCCTCTCCCTGCTGCTCTTCATGGTGCACCGGCTGCGCCAGAGGCGGAGAGAGCGCATAGAGTCCTTGATTGGAGCTAATTGTGAGTATCAGCTCTCTCCTTGTGCTGGATATTGACACACTGGGGTGTGTAAAGGAGAGAGATGTCATCATCTTGCTTGACTGTGCCTGTGTCTTGGTGGGGGTCTTCAGACTTGAACTTTTGTAGTGGATAATGGAAGAATATTTTTGTTTCTATGTGCTCCAAATCTGAAATATCTTCTGTAGTTTGAAGAGGTTAGAGTCAAATTTAGATGTGATGCAGGACAAACAGACTGGGAGCAGGTGGGCCTGGGTATTGTGTAATTGCAGCAAGTTGACTTGGATGGGTTATGTAGACTTTTCTAGGTCTTCAGGAGACCTGAGTTCCTGGGGTGTGAAAAGTGGAAGAAAGTGTTGAGATCTGGCTTGAACTGAAGAAGACAGCACGAGATAAAGTCACTTACTCCTTTTCCTTCTCTTGAAATAGTGCACCATTTCAACTTGGGCCGCAGGATGCCTGGTTTTGATTACGGTCCCGATGGTTTTGGAACTGGCCTTACTCCACTGCATCTTTCAGACGATGGGGAAGGTGGAGCATTTCATTTTCATGATCCCCCTCCACCCTATACTGCTTACAAGTACCCAGATATTCAACATCCTGATGACCCACCTCCTCCTTATGAGGCTTCTGTCAATCCAGACAGCATCCTTTGTTCCACTCCAGGTATGCAGGCAATAATTTCTCTTTTCTACCACTTTTTCATTTTGGCTAGAGGATGGATTTTTTTTTAAGCTATAATCATGTGTTTTAGCAGTTGTGATGGGAAAAGACATTTTACCAAAAAAATCTGCAATTTCTGTGATGAAAAAGTCTTTTGTTAAAATGTATCATTAAGCTTGGTTTTTCTCAAAGGTTTTTGAATCACCTAAATTAGCAGTGGAATCCAGTCTGTAAGCAGTTTACCTCTTAAACCTTACCTATTTTTGAGCCTATCCTTGGATGGATTAGCTGGTTACCTTTTTTCTACCATGCTGCTACCATTTTTGGCCTTTTGAAGATAGTTTGATAGAGTTTGGTATTAAGAAGTAGAACAAATGTCAAGTACAAGAGATTCTGGATAAAATGTATCCAGCCTCTTCTCTCCTCCCTTCTTCCCCCACCCACACCCCCCAAAAATTGACCAAAAATACCACTGTCTAATGATTCACCCAGTGCTCTTCAGTTTTGCAGCTGTGATATTCATATACTGTAGAAATCATTCCAATTTGGGATTTTATAGCAGCATATTTCACAAGATAAGTGAGCCTGATTAGTGCAAGCATCTTATTTATATGTCAAAGTTTTATTTTTGTTACACAATTTTCCTCTTTTGCAGTCTCATGTTGTTGTGCATTAGCTCAAAACCAGGAAAAACTCAGAGCTCCCAGAAACACGGATCATAAATCTGTTTGGGAACGTGAAATGATAAACTTCACGTTCTGATTCTGTTTGGTTTTTTGTCCTTTGCAGATGGAGTTCTTTCTCAGGCTGTGCAAAGCAGTCCTCCATCGCTAGGAAACTGTGATGTATCCCCACAACTGACAGAGGGGTCGCTTCCTCCCTCAGTTGGTCCTTCTCCAGTGGAGCTGGAAGACTCTGCTGACAGCAGCACCTTTCTTGTCCCTCCTGACACACCCATAAATGAGAACACCCCAGCAGAAACTTTGACAGGCAGCCGCCACAGTCACTGTTCCCTCAACACCATTGTATAAAGGAGTGAAACGCCCCGCACCGCTCAGAGTTTTAGCAACTGTTTGCACAGACAAACACTAATCTGAGGCTTGAACTTCAGAAGGAATCTCCACTTTGTTTTTCGAACACTGCTTTTATGTTCTAGATTAGGATCGTGCCTCTCGTTTTTTGGCTGTCGTTCTTCATTCACTAATCAATTTGTCCTGTAAATATGGATTGTACAACTGCTCTTTTTTTCCATTGGCTATGGAAAGGAGAGCAGAGAATTCCTTTGACTTCTGAGGAGGTGAGAAGTATGGGTAGTTTGGGTTGGTTTTTTTTTTCTTAACCTGAGAGGAATCAAAATCTACATCAGAAAAAAGCTGCTTGGATTTGGCTGGATACCACTGGACCCAGGAAACAGACAATGGAAAAGAAGGGTGGGGACAATCACTGTTCAAGAAGAGAAGATGGAGCTGCAGGGGAGGGGGCTGGGGGCCTGTTCTGTGGAGTGGGACACACGCCATCAAGAGTTACACTGTGTAAAACACAGTGCCTCGATCAGAACACCAGAGGAGCTGGAGCAGGAGTGGTCTACGGAATATGCGACAATTGGCTACGGAGAAAACCCGGATTTGCAATTACAATTACGTGTTGTCAGTAGCTGCAAAACCTCAAATTGTTGGATAAACTTCTGGCCCATGAAGAAAACTGGGTCTGTGTGATGTCCCTTTAGTAGAGCCCTCACGTGTGTTAGGAAGTACTTTAGGGTAGAGATGGGGAGCAATTAACTTTGATGCAGCCTGAGTTCGCTGTATGAAGCCCCTGTTTGTTCTAATACCATAAGTAAGACTGAGGTTTTTTCTTTCTGGTTTAACTTCTTTACAGTGAAGGGTTGCACAAAATTGGCCTGGATACAAGACCACTGTTCTTGCTTTTCTTATTGCATGCTATATTTAGCATGTGTGTTCCCTCCCCTTCATTTCACTTCTTTACAGTTCTACAAATACCACTTAAAATGGTGATCAACATGTACTATAGGTGATGTTTAATTCTAATTGGACACCTGTTCCTTATCTCAGTCCCATAAATAGCCAGCCCTGTTCTAGAGATTTCCCCTGTGCCCCCCAAGCCATTTATCCAGGTCCTACAAGGGGTTATAATGAGGTTAGTGTACTTAAATCAATAAAGCAGTTTGCTTCAGTCTGATATGTCAACTTAAATTTCCCCCTCGTATTGAACTCTTTAAGCTAAGTTAATTTACAGATGGCAAAGATTCATTCAGTCCCTCACGATACCCAAAGTCAAGCACTGTTGGTTTTGATAATGAGTGCAAAATAATCTTTACAGGCAATTTTAAATTTAAGTTTGGATTTCAGTGTACAAATAGTTTACCCTTTTCTCCCATACTCCCATTGCCTCTGCTTCTCCTTGACTTACTGTAACAGTCAGCAGATGAGATGAATTTTAAGGAATTTGTAAAGAATGCCTCTTGTGAGTGGTCTCCTGTTACCCTATGAAGGGTACAAGCCTAGAGGGACAGGAAGAAAGCACTGCATAGGGGTGTGTATGTGATCTATTTTTCTAGTAATGATGAGAAATCGTACTTGTATGACAAATCCTAACCCACTCCTGTGGTTTCCCAGTGCAGCTGACTCTTTCCCCATGGAATATGCTGCTACTTTCTATTCCCTGTCATGCCTATAGGCTTATACTGTACTTGGGGATTGGTCTTGACAGTTCAACTCGTTTTGCACAGAAAACTGTGAGTTTGATATCGAGGTCGTATCTGGTGTGTCGAGGTGCAGACGCTGCAAACAGCCCTGACTCCACCGGAGAGCGTGAATCACAGTTCTGGGGAGCGCTGCTGGCACACGAGTGGGAGGAAGCACTGGGAGGAAGCCTCTCTGCCTGGAGCTGTTCCACCACCCCTTCCTGCTCTCTGCTGTGCCTGGCTCCAGCAGCAGTGGTACGAAACGAGAGGAACAGTTCTCCACCCTGTGGGATCTCTGACCGAGTCCTCCTCCGAGTTCCAGGTCCTGGTCTAATGAAGTGGATGGATAGCAGTAGTCAGAACCATGCATACAAATTATTGAGCATTTCTGAAGTATGAAAATAAAGCGGGTTTTGTGCATTTTTGAGCACATTCATACGTTTTATACATTGTATGTACTGATTTTTCTTTAGTTTTATAGGTACGAATGCGTGTGTGCGTGTGTGTGTTTCTGGGTGGTGATATATATATATATACATACATATATATATATCTCTATACATACTGTAGACAGTAACCTTTGTGCTGTGTCCAGCTAGGTGAAGCTAAGCACTGAGATAGAAATTAGGCTCTAGGGTTAATACTTCTCTTGAGCTGGCTACGCTCTTGTAGAACAGGCTGTGATAGTATACACTTAAATAGGATGCAAAGTCTATGCTACTACAATCTGTTCCTGAAAAATACTTTGTTAGCAGTGCAAAGTAGAAAAATTCCAATTTCTTTTGAAGCCAGATGGAATATTTGTTCTTTGTAGTATCCTAGCGCAATAACAAAAAGCCTTTTGGCTTGGTTCAGTCTCTGAGGCTGTATTTTGTGGCTGAGGTGAACAGATACCTTACCTCACACTTCTCCTAACACTGCAGGAATCTGTTTAATATTTTTGTATTTTACTTTTGGTTCTGTGGTGAATTTTATTTGCAAATAAGCTCTGTTACAACTGGCAACTTCATTGTGGCTCCTGGTTGTAGCTATTCCAAATGGAGGCTTCTTTGTAGAAGCCTCAGTGTGATATTTTCCCCATTGCTTCTGAGCCTTTCCCACTTGTATATTGGCAGGACGCTGCTATTTTCTTTGTTTTCCCCTATCCTTCTTCATCTTAAATGTAAACAAGGGAAATTCTTCTTTGAATGGAGCAGCTCACTAAGTACCGCTCATTTACCTCTCAGTGAGCTTCTAATTTGGCAATAAAATTGTCATTTCCCCACCTTTTATGTAGCTTTTTCACATTGAGTACTTTCTCTTGGAGTAAGAGCCTTTGTAGCAGAAAATGTCCCAGCTACTCAGACGGCTGGACCAACTGGGGAAGAGTTAAGTTTTCTTGACAACAGTGGACTCCTCAGCAAACCTTCCTTGCCCTTGGCAAGGTGACTGGTGGGCAGTTTGTCCCAAGGGCTGATGACAGAGTTGGTGCTTGCCCAAGGAAAACCTCTCTGGTTTGATTGCCATTTGATTGATGAGATCTTTGGAGTTACTTTCTGCATTGATTTTCCCCCACTGCCATTCCCATCTCTGGATGTTCTTACACACATCTGGTGCATCCTGAGTGTCCCTGCAGCCCCAGCAGGGAGATGGCATTGCCACATGGCTTCCAGCAGCCTGTGTGAGCCCAGGGTGTGTTTTTCTTGGGATGCCCTTGACCACAGTTGCTGTCAAGTCGCAGCACTGGTTCTGTGCAGGGCTGGTCTTGTCCCACTGTGGCCTCAGACAAAGCTGCTCCTCAGCTCCCCCGTGCTGTGGTGCCATACTGAGGCCTCTGCTGTTCCCTAAGAGCCGCCCCAGGCACTCTGGTTTGTCAGTGATGCCCTTCCACAGTCCCACAGAGCCTCTGGCTCTGCACTGGGAGTTCAGAGCTAAAATGTTACAGGGGCAGTGGGTTCTGCTGTGCAGGATCAGCACCATCCTTCAGGTGTGCAAGGAGCTTGTCTGTGTAGTGTGCAGTCCTGTTGCGTTTGGGCCTCAGACCGTTCCTTTAGCCATGCACAGCAGGACACTGATCTAGATGAAAAATGAAGCAGGTGGACATTTTTTTTCTGAAGGCTGAATCTTACAATCAGTGGGTGCTGTGCCTCCACAGGTGCCATGGGGTGATGGCCTGTTTCAGTACTTGGGAAGAAAATGTTTTTTGTGACCAGTAATTATTACCATTCTTTTCCCATCTCATGTTAAATGAATTTGAAGCTGGTACTTAAAGATATTTTTCTTTCACATGTGACTTCTTAGTGGCAAAACACTGATGTTTTAATGTTGCCTCGTACAATCCATAATGTGCATCTCCTTTTTTCAGTTGCTGAAACGTCATTTTTCTCCCTAGCTAAGGAACATGTAATATGCAGAAATTTCTTTTAAGTTTCCCTTGCAAGTTGGGAGCTGGACCGTAAAATGAGAGCAGTTGAGTGTAGAGGAGGTGAATCAAAGTTCATGTTTGTTTCTCTGTTCCCCAGTCCCAAGTGAAATAGGTGTTTCCTTGGAGCAGAGGCTTTCAGCGATGAAGATGCGCTTGCCCCTAATAACAGTCAGCATTGCCTGCCTGCTACGGTACCACATAGCTTTAATTTTCTGGTATGTGCCCCTCGAGTGTTGACTGGGTCAGGCTTGCTGCCAGCGGAGGTGGCTGTGCTGCACCATCCCTGTGTGTTGGGCTGAGGGTGCCTGGGAGGCTGTGAGAGAATGAGACACTGCTTTGTACCTTCCTCTGGAAAATCATTTTAGCCAGCGCTGCACTTGCAGGCTTCTCCTGTGTAGTTGGTTTGTGACTGGACTTAACTGTGGCAGTGTATAAAAGATTTTGATATTCTGTGAAATACCATGTAGAATTTAAATTTGATACTATGATAATTGAGTCCCTGTGACACTGGTTTTTGTTTTAACTTCTTTGGGGTTGGCACTAATCTCTTTTTTTTCCAAGATGCTGTGAGAAACATTTCATCCAAATGCCAAATAAATTGTGTTCTGTAAGAGAAATGTTGTGTTCCAATGTCTCCTGATTTCTGCGTCGATGTGGTTGCCCAGCATTGTGAAGGAGGGTTTTGTTAAATCACTCTTCTGAGCTGTGATCTTGCAAAAAGATCAATAAATGCATTTAACTTGGAGCAGGTAGTCTGCCAGAGTTCCTATATGTGCACAGATTCCAGTGGGATTCACCTGTCTTAGTGTAATTTTAGGAAAGTCTTGAGTTTATACCCAAGAAAATGAAGTGCAGTGTATTCCTGCTGCCCTCCCCAAACCCATGGGAAGCCGCTGAGTCCAGGGGCGGGGGTTCTGCAGAAAGCAGAGGCTGGTCCCGACTCCCAGCTCGCTGTTTCTCCTGGAGCCGCCGGGCTCGCAGTGTTTGCAGCCCGCAGGCTGCGTTCGTTCATTGCTGAAAGGCGTCCAGCGGGCGCTGTCGCTGCGGGGCCGGGAGGGCTCCGCTCCCCCGTCCCTGTCCCTGTCCCTGCAGAGGGCAGCTGCCACCGCAGCCGCTCCGTGGGCCTGAACAGCGCAGCTCCAGAGAGCTCCGCGCCGGCTCCAGCCGGGCGGTGCTGGCTCAGCTGGGGGCGAAAGGGCGCAGCCCTTGCCCGCTGCTGCTCTCGGGGCACCCGCCTCTCTCCGCAGCCGCATGCCGGCAGCGCTTGGAGGGGCTCGGTCCGGCCTGGAACCCCGTGGGGCTCCGCTGCTGCTGGGAGATCCCGTGCAGATACAGCCTGCCCTGGCCTCCTGACCCTTGCCTGGGGACAGGACAGCTCCTGTAGGAGCACAGCCCTGTCCGAATTGTCCGAAGCACAGCCACGGCTCTGGGCTCCCCGCCCTGACCCGGGGGCACACGTGTCCAGAGGCAGCTGTCTGTGCTGTGGCAGGGCATTGCTGGGCAGCCTCCTGCTGTAAGCTCTCAGCAGCTTACAGGGCGTTGTTCTGAGCGAGTGATGAGCAGCTGTGCCCGCACGGCGTGTCCGGGGCGCTCAGCCCCAGGCGGAGCGGGGGAGCGTGTCAGACACGCGCCGGGCGCTGCGGGGACCCGCGGGTGCCAGGCCCGGGGGGAGATGTCGCTGACCCCGCGGCGGCGGGAGCGCGGCATGAATGAAGGGGCTGTGCAGCGGCACAGTGTGGCCGGAGCGCATCTGCCGGCCACAGTGCCTCCTTTGTGCCGGCCCTGCTGCGCTCCCTGCCCCGCTCCCGGCTTTCCTCCTGGGCTAGCACCAGCTTATTATGGGGATCAAAGATCAAAGTATTTACTGCCTGTGAACTTTGCCTCTCTGGATGCCCGCCTCTCTTTGTGCACCCATCCCTGTGTGATGTGAACCGCACTCTGGAGGCTCAAGTCTTGGTCTTGTCACTGTCCCTCTCTGCCCAGGTCCTCGGCCAGGCGCCCAGTGTCAGTGAAGGATTTACCCCCAGGAGCTGCTGGCACCTCTGCTGTGTGCTGGCACAGGGCTTGCTGATGGTGCACGTGGTGGGGGTTCCCACTAGGATGGCACTGTGCCCACGACCAATCGATGGTTGCAGCTTAAGTAGCTATTTTTATCTTTCAGTGGTATTTTTCCCCTTATCATGGCTCTTGCCCTTAGTGCTGTGACTACACATGTCTGCAGGGACCTCACCACCTCCTGGCTCGGTGGCAGCAGGCTGATGGACGTTGTGTTGCCCTACGAGGAGGACACAAAACTGCAGGATCAGCTGTGAGCTCACCACCACCACCACCACGTCAGCAAGGCCGTCAGTTTCAAGGCTTGATCTGGTTCCTGTAGAAACTGGAGGTTGCTCATTCCTGGTACGAGTGCCAGCAGCCAGCCATGCTCCCTGGGAAGCAGTGCAGTGGGGATGGGTGGGAGCAGGGTATGGCACAGTGCTGCGGTGCCACCACTGCCTTTCCACATGCCTTGTAGATCCCACTGCTTCCTCACTCTGCTCCCGCTTCTTGTGGGGGCTGTGCTGGGCCCCACACCCTGCTCATGTCCCTCTTGCTAAAAATCACCACTAGAGAAGCCTGAAAACCTAAAAGAGCGGCCATGGGGCAATGAGTCTCATCTTCTGACCCCAGGAGTCTTGGACTTCTCCCCCACTCCTGGCAATATGGGCTGTTCTGCTGTGGGTGTGTAGGAAGAGGGATCACTTGGTGGGCTCATGTTTCCAAGGGAGGTCTGGATACCATGAGTGCCGGAGCAGCTCCCCTCTTTCCCGGCAACAATCGGCAGCAGAGCTGGTGCGACCCTCTGCCGCACCTGCCCGCCCCTTGCGGCTCTCTCCAGAAGGATGAGCGCAGCCCTCGGCAGACTACCTCATCCCTGGAGCAGGGGCCAAGTGTCAGCCACGGCACAGATCCAGCCCAGCCCAGGGGACACCTGTGCTGCCGCCCTCCTCTGCGCCCTGCACCGGGGCCCAAACGTGGCTCAGGGCTGGTGCTGCCTGGGGGGGAAGGAGATGTCCCAAAGAATCCCTGCTGAGGATGAGCCCGTTGTGGCATTGGCAGCCAAGCAGCTCTGCTGAGCCCGAGCCCATCCCTGGCCAAGCCGGCAGCAGGGGCTGCTTCCCGCTGGCCGGGCGCTGCTGCCGGGTTTGTTCATCCTGGCAGTGACTCGCCAGTGCTCCCGGCCAGGGCCAAGTGCCGGCGAGGGGAGCTGCGGGCTGGGCCCCTTGGCCTCCTTTCCTCTGCTGCGTGAGGATGGCATGGATATTTAAGGAGAATGTGATAACACCATGCTCCTGTGTTCTCACCACCTTCCCACCTACCTACCTACCTACCTGCTGAGATCCTGGCTCCTGTGGGACCTGCCTGGACAGGTGCAGTGGGATGGCATATGCTCACTCAGCGCTGAGGAGCTGAGCAGCTGCCTCCAGCAGCACGGGACGCCTGCACTGCGCTCCAGTGCTGCTCGGATGGCTGTGCAAGGCTTGTGCCCCAGCACTGCCCCTGCACTGCCAGCCAGTGCCCCATGGCTGCGGGAGCATGAGCCCCTGCAGCCTTGTGCCTGCTGGAAAGGAAAGGGCTGAATCCTGCCCCAGCACTGTGCAGCTCCTTGGTGACTGCAGGGACTGCGGGTTCCCTATAGCGTGGCTGTCAAGGCTGCCTGGGCCCCGAGGATGGGGCTTCCAGGAGGTGCTCGCTGGGCTTTGTCCAGGGAGGGGCCTGTGCTGGCAGGCAAGGGTTGGGTTTGGTCTCTGGGTCCCCATGGCACCGCCTGCCCCTCATCAGGCGGGAACCACCACGCTCAGACATCGAAGATGCAGGACCCACTGCTGGCTGGGGAGTTCCCAAAGCTGGGGGGAGGGTCTGTCCCACAGCCTGTGTCTGCAAGGGATGGGGAGGGGATGGGCCAAAGCTCCTGTCCCCAGCCCGTTCTGCCTGCTGGCAGGCCCCTGAAGTCCATCTGCAGTCCCACACACTGTGCGGGGGCGGGCTGTGGCACAGCGGGGATGCTGCCGACCTCCAGCTTTGGGGATGGGGAGCGGGACGGTACCGGGCGGGGAGCGCCGCACCCGTGGGCTCCGCCAGCCCCCGCTCCCCGCCTGTCCCTGTCACCGCGGGCTGGCCGGGGGCCGGGCTCTCCCCGCTCCCTCCTAGCAGCCGAGGAGTTAAAAACTCAGCCCGGGTGATGAATATGTAAGAGCAGAGCCCAGGCTGGAGCCGAGCATCTCCCGGGCTGCGGGCGCTGCCAGCGCTGCCGCCCGCCCCAGCCCAGCGCCGGGCGCACTGCGGAGGGACGGGACGGGACGGGGAGGTGCGGGGGTCCCCCCGCTGCCCCGCGTCGCCATGGGCCCCACCGGGCTCGGCATAACTTTCCTGACACTGCCCCTCGTCGTGCGAGCGGCCGCGGGAGGTGAGCTGCGCCCGGGGCCGGGGGTCCCGCGGGTGGAGAGGGTGGGGAGCGGCGTTGGGGGCTTGGGGGGCGCCGCTTTTTCCATTCCCTTCCCACGTGTCGAGGGGTGATGCGGGCTGAGGGGTTGGCAACAGGGACTGGGGGACCGAGTCTGTCCCAGGAGCCCTCTCCTGCCCTCCCACCAGCCCCTCCCCTGAGTGCTGCCGGCCTCGGGGGTCTCGAGGTGGTGGGGCCAGGGTCCCCTTGACAGTGGGGTCTTGGGCTTCAGCCCATCCACCCCACAGACCTGCACCGCCGGGAAGCACCGGTGAGGACAAAACCTCGGAGCGAACCTCGGGCGCTGCCGTCCCGGGCCGGGCCTGGGCGCTCACCTGCACCGGGCCAGGCTGGGGCGCCGGCGGGACCTTGGCTCCTGCCGGAGGATGCTCGAGGGCTGGTGCGTGCAGGTCTGAGGATTTCCCGGGAGTTCTGCTGGCCCCTGGACCCCAAGATCCCTGCTCTGGGAACCGTCAGAGTCCCGCCTGCGCTGTCCCACACGCAGTTCTCCTCTGGGGCTGGTGTCTCTTGTAGCACTGTAGTCAGACTGTGGATGCGGTGCCGCAGGCTGGGGCCTTGAGCAGCACAGGTGGAGGCCGGCAGGGCTGCCTTTGTCCTGCTGCTCCGAGCGGCTGTGGCTGGCACGAGAGCGTGGCTCGGCTCTCCCGCAGCCGGCCCGCTGGCATGGCCCTCGGCCATCAGCGGGGACCCTCCCGTGGGCTGTTTGTGCCTCCTGCCCAGAGCAGAACGGGGAGCTGAGGAGGGAAGGGGTGCACTGCCCAGCTCCCTCTGCAGAGCCGAATGCCCCGGGTGGATGTGCAGCCAGCAGAGCAGGAGCGGGGCGCCAGCTTTCTCGGCATCGCCTCGGTGTCCCTGCACCTGCTGCCCCAGCTCTTGCCATGGAGCCCGTGGTGCCCAGAGCCACCCGAGCGCTGGTGGGAGCTCGGCAGCTCTGGCTGAGGTGGCCCTGAGTGACGGGGCCGACCACCATCCATCCCCACAGCGTGGGCTCGGGCCTGCCCACCGCCCGCCTGCTGCCGCTGCCAGCCCGCCCGCGGGGACACTGGGCACGGGGGGACAGCGGGAATGGGGGGGACACCGGGCATGGGGGGGACACCGGGAATGGGGGGGACACTGGGCATGGGGGGGACACCGGGCATGGGGGGACACCAGGCGCGGCTGAGGCTGCTCCCCCTGGCTCCCACTTGCCTGCGGCTGCCCGGGGCCGCTGCTGTGGGGTGAGCCTTGGTTCCCCAGGATGGAAAAGGGGGGATGGCCCCACGAGAGCTGGAGAAGGAGCACAGTGGGCAGGGAGGTTTGGCTGCCTTGGAGCAGCGATACTGAGGGAGGTTTCCCTGTGAAGCGTGTGGGGGAGGCAGGGAGGGTGTGAAAACACTAGCGCCAAAAATAACCGTGATGAACACAAGTGTTGGCGGGACCCCGGGCTGCACTGGGGGATGTCCTCATTGTCAGGGGGTTGGGCATGGCCGTAGGTGGGTTTGGGAAAGGGTGTCTGTCTCCATCACCTGCCCTGAGCTCTCCTTTCTCCCGCAGGGCAGTGGTGTTACGACTCACAGGACCCCCGATGCGGTGAGTGGTGCCAAGCGTGGGTGTGTTGGGGCTGTGCAGGGCTCAGGCCCTGGTGTCTCCCCACAGCTGAGAGCACCCTGGGCAGCATCAGCAAGGCCCAGTGGGGAGAGTGGCATGGAAAAGGGTAAATTCCCCCATGGGAATGGTTAGAGGAGCTTCACTTTTGGGGGTGTTGCTGTAGAGACTTGACAAACACCTGAACCCCTTCGAGCAACTCAGCCCCACCCCTCACTTCAGCCAGCTCCAGGTGCTCCTGGGGCAGCACCAGCTTTCCTCCTTCCACCTGAAACAAATTAAGTCCAGGTTTTAAAATACTCTATTAGAAACCCCGTGCAGTGTAGGCAGCAAGGGGGCCCACGGGCCTGACTGAAGAGGGACAGCTCCCTCTGAGCAGGCAGCAGCCCTGCCTGGATGGGGAGGGAAGCATGGCTGGGGGCGCTTTTTCTCAAAACACACAAATACGAATTACAAATAGCTTGTAAAAGGTTAATTAAAGATCATCAAGCATTTAATCAGCTGTTACGGCCCAACTGTTTTATAGCTCTTGGGTTTACATGCCCTGTGGCTTGTTAGCCTGGATTGCTGGGCTCCGCTCATCCCTGTCGGAGCCAGGCTCGGTCTTACCCGGTTTAACGTGGCTGGGCTGGCAGGAGGGCAGGGTTTGGCAGGGCAGAGGGGCCGGTGGGAAGCGGCTGGAGCAACGTGGAGCCGGCTGTGTGCCTGCAGCAGAGCCATGTGGAATGCCCCTCCACTTATGGAAGGCACCTGGTAATCTGTGGGGCCACCCAGTTACAGCGTGCCAGGAACCTGCTGGGATGGTGGCATGGCCAGGCTGCAGCTCCCAGGGCTTCCAGGCAAAAAGTTGCCTGAAGATAATGAGAGGAGAACATAGAGGCTAAGGGCTGAGCCCAGGGGGGCAGGAGGTGGGATACAGCCCACAAGTGTCTGTGGTTTTGTCTGCCCAAGAGGAAGGTAAATGTCAGAGCTGAGCCATGGGGCACTGCTGGGGGAACAGTTCCCCAAACCCTGGCTGTAGGCAAAGCCATGATGTGTGTGTGAGAAGAGCCTGTTGGGATGTGCTGAGCTCCCCTGGGAATGGAAATGCCCCAGGAGGACAGGGCTGGAAACACTGAGGAAGCCTCTGTTCCCCAGCTGGAACTGGGTCCAGAGACTGGCAGTGCCCAGGGCTGACACCTCTATCCTGGGCTGCACCAGGAGGAGGAGTGGGGTGCCGTGGCAGCCACACTGGGGCACTGAACAGCAGGGTGGCTGGCTGGCTACATCCTACAGCTGTGGGCTGCCACAAGGGTTACAAGAAGAGATGATGCTGGGGCAATGGGGACAAGCCATGGGTTGGTTGTGTGGTCTGGCTGTGGTGGCAGCCATGGGGACCCTGCTCACAGCCCCCAGCAGCACTGTGGGTTTGCAGTGGGTGCAGCTGGCTGCCAGCACTGCTATGTCCTCACCCAGCTCCTGCCATGGTGACCCCCCACCCCAGGAGCTGCTGATGGTCACTCTGGAACCTGTGTAGGATTTGGCCCAGGATGAGTTGTGTGGCCAGGTTGCATTGTCACCTGTCACAGCTGGACAGAACCAGTGTGAGTAGGTTGAACTTGCTAAAACCCAGCAAGGGGCAGAAGGGGCAGGGAGAAAAGCCTGCCCTTCACCAGCGTCAATGTGGACGCTGCTGCCAGGCTAAATATAGCCCCTGGCCCCTCGAGGAAATCCTGCTGAATTATGGATGAGGCTGCAATAAGCCCCTGCTCATCAATAGGAAGGAAACTTAGCCGGGCAGGAGAGCAGTTCCCATGGGATGCAAGAGAGCACGCCGGGCTGGCAGGGACTGCAGGGCTGGTTGGGGACACAGCCACCCGTGGCCTTGTGTCCCCCTCTGGGGGCAGCGGTGGTTTGGTGGCTGCCCGTGGTGCCCCTGCTCCTCCCCTGCAGGGCCCAGCCACTGGAAGGAGCTGAAAGCCACATGTGGTGGCGACAAGCAGTCCCCTGTGAACATCGACAGGCGCCGGCTGCAGCGGGACGGTGGCCTCGGGGACATCCTCTTCGAGGGTTACGACCAGGCTCCCCCTGGCAAGTGGAGGCTGACAAACAACGGGCACACAGGTGCGTGCTGAAGCTGGGCACCTTCCCCTGTCCCAATTCCCCAGTCACCATCCTAACTGGGGCCTGGGTCTGGCCCACTCCTGGGTGCTGCAGTATCCCACGCAGATGGATGTTAGTGCTGGGATGGAGCCGGGGGAGAAGGAGCTGTGCCAGGGCTGTTGCCCACCCTGAGCCTCCCCTCACCCTGTCCTGCTGCCCTTGCAGTGATGCTGAGCCTGGCAAGTGAGTCGGCCTCTGAGCACATCACCATCAGTGGCGGGGGCCTCCCGGGCAGGTACCGCGCGCTGCAGCTCCACTTCCACTGGGGCAGCCCGGCTGGGAACGGCTCCGAGCACACCCTCGATGGGCGCCAGCTCCCCATGGAGGTACGTGAGGAAAAGCCCCCAGCACGTTCTGGGTTGCCTAAGCCCTTGGTGAGGTGGGAAGGGGAGATGCTGGGGGGATGCTGGGGCACCCCAAGACTCTCGTGCAGCAGGTCACTGGGCTCTGCGACTCTGCACTGGTGGTGCTGCTCAACAGTGCTCCTGCACAGGCACCTGGGTGGTGAAAAAGCAGCTGATGTAAGACTTGAGGTGTTTCTTTACCATGCCTGGGCCAGGCTGCTTCGTCCAAGGCACTCAGTGGGGTTTGGGGAGCTCTGTGCCCTGCTGGGACCACACACTGAGCTAGTGAATGCAAGTGAGAGCAAGCAGGAGCGTGCTGTGCTAAGCACATTGGGATCCTTCTGGATGAAAGAGGCTCTGCGCTTCTAAAATATTCATTATCTGCCAGAGGAAAGCAGAATTTATGTTCTGTGTCTGGCGAGCACCCCGGGACTGCTGGCCCCCTTTTGCACACCCTTCAAAGGATGCTTGATGCATTGGGGTGCTTTGATCCTCCAAGCACCCACCCCACAGAAGTGCCAGTAGGACCAGAAGGGCTTTACTGGGAGAGGTTGGCTCAGGGTCTGGCCATCCCAAGCTGGCTGGAAGGACCCACAGCAGAATGTTCTGCTGACAGGGTGTTGGCTGGGGGCAGTTGTGAACGCCTGCCTCCTCTCTGCTTTCCTCAGATGCACATCGTCCACATGAATGCCAAGTACCTGACACTGGCAGAGGCCAAGGGGCATCCCAATGGGCTGGCTGTCCTCGGCTTCTTCTTCCAGGTGGGTCTGCAGGGGCCCCCTAGAAACTGGGTGCTGGTGGTGTAGCTGGGTGAGGGTTGTACGGGTGTCCTGAAGGAGTGGGAAGGGACAGGAAGGCTGGGTCAAGGCCACAAGAGGCTGGGGAACCCACTGACTGCAAAAGAACCTGGCTGGGAACCCTCCCCACTGCTCTGCAACAGGGGAGGCTGGCTCTGCCTGTGGTTGCTTGGCAGGACAGGATGACCCAGCTCTGCCCTGCTCAGGCTCTGTCTGACTTCAGCCACTTATTGTCCCCATACACAGGTCTCTGAAACCACTAACACCAACTACAACACCATCGTGGCAGGGCTGAGGAATGTCTCCCACGCTGGTGAGTGGCCAGCCTGCCTCATCAGGGCAGGGCAGGAAAGGGGAGACGTTGCTGTGGGAGGGCAGGGATGCACCCCAGTGGGCTGGGTGGGGGAACCTGCCACTCGCTGGGTTCATCTGGGTCCATGGCCTGAGGGGAAATTGATGGGGGTGGCTGTGCTGTCCCCACCACATCCCTGGCAGGGGGCAGGCTGAGTGCCCCTGTCTTGCCCCCCAGGGGACTCTGTGGATTTGGCCTCCACGTTCCGCCTGAGCACGCTGCTGCCGCGTGCCGCCCGGCTCTCGGGCTACTACCGCTACCAGGGCTCCCTGACCACCCCCGACTGCAGCGAGGCCGTCGTCTGGACTGTGTTCGAGGAGCCAGTGGAGATTGGCCGGGAGCAGGTACCGGCATGTCCAGCCCCACTGCCAGCACCAGAAAGGCTGGATCCCCGGGGTGACCTCCCTCCTTGTCCTTCCTGACCCTTCAGCAAGAGCACAGGGAAAGTCATCTCCATAATAATGCTCCTGGCAACTTGGCAATTAATTAATTTTATGAAGGTTAAGTAATGGAGATGTGGCCACCTGCCAGTGGGGAGAATTCCCATCCATACTGTAGTCCTGCCCAGCCTTGGCATTCAGAAACAGAAATGGGAGTGAATCCATTGAAGCTCAGTAGAGGCTCCAAGGAGATGGATGGATGCATGGAAGGAAGGAAGGAGTTCTCCTCTGCTGCTCAAGCACCTTAGTAGATTTATTTTCTTGAGGGAGTCATGGGTCAGCCACTCTCTAAGTGCTCACTGTCAGCACCAAAACATAATGAGCTCCTTTAAAACTCAAGACCTGATCCTTGTAAGGACCTGCCTCTGTGCTTACCCATGGGTCTGGCGTCAGCAGAGCAGTGGGGGTGGTGGGGGGACACCCACTGGTGTGGGGCCATGCCATGGGTCCTGTGCCATAGGCAGGGGGGCAGTCTGAGGGGGGCTGGCAGTGGGCAGGGGCCTGGGGTCCCTGACAATGCAGCTGCCCACCCTCCCTCTCTCCCTGCACAGCTGAAGGCATTCGTCAGCACCCTGCACTTCCCACTCGAGGGATCCATGCTCCTAAAAATGATCAACAACTTCCGCCCGCCGCAGCCCCTCCGCAGCCGGAAGATCTTTGCGTCCCGGGGGGCCACAGCCAGCGGTGGCTCCCTGCACGGGGACCCCCCCCAGCTCCTCTCAGCCCTGCTCCTCCTGGCCCTGCTCAGCCTCTTCTCACCAGCCCCGTAGGGTCTGGCCCTGCTGCAGCGGAGAGGGAGGCGATGCGTCTTGTTCATGGGAAATGGGAAACAACAAAAAAAAGCACGTTGAAACCTTGGCTGGGTGAAGATTTTGTGAACCTGCATCTCTGCAGAGGTGAATCTCTGCAAGCCTGGAGCTGCCCTGGGATGTCCCTGTAGACGGGCAGTGGGAGCTGCTGCGAGGGGGATGTTGTAGTGACTGCAATAAAGCCAAGGTCCCATCAGTGGCTTGCTGCCTTTTTTGCTGGCTCTGTGTCCCTTCACCATCTGGGGCAGGTGCTCGGCATGGCACTGTGGGGTCAGTGGGGAGGGACAGGGGCTGGTGTCTGGGTGGCATTCAGGGATATCCCCTGCATGGTGGCACAGGCAGGCAGGAAAGAGGCAAATCCCGGCCCTGGCTCGGGATGCCTGCAGTCCCTGCCCTGCAGACGCTGTGCCCTGTTGCCCTCCCCAGGGCTGGGGCTGGCTGTTGGAGGGATGGGAACACAGCACCTGCAGTGCCCTTGTGCAGGACACAGGGATCTTTCCACGGAGCTCATTTTGTGCTGGCAGGAATAACTGCAGCTGCCGGCGCTGCCGGGGCAGGGCTGTGTGAGTGGGGTGGTTCATAATTAATGTGCTGGAGCTCCAGGCATGTTCCCATCTTCTCCTGAATTACGGGTGAAGAGCACAGGCCGTTACCCGGGAGAAGAGGGGGCAGGCTGAGGTTTTTCATCCTTTCTGGAGGGAACCACTGCCAGTGCCGGGCTCCAGCCCCAGCGGTGGCCGCCCCACCTGTGGGTCCTGAGCACCCCCTGAGCCCCCCGTGAGCATCCCCCGCGCGAAGCTCCTGGGGGAAGCCCTCGCTGCAAGAGGCTCTCTGTGGGCCGAGGAGTCCCGTCGCAGATCCCCGATGCCCACGCCGGGGGGATGTGGCTTCTGTGATTCCCCCCGGAGCTCGGGGACACGGGGACACGCCGGACACGCGGGGGCGCCGCGGGCACGCGCACGGAGAGGGGCCGGCAGCGGCCGGGCGGCCGCCAGGGGGCGCCCTCCGCACGGCCCCGACACCGCCCCGTGTGCCCCGTGTGCTCCTGTCCCCATCCCGACACTTCCCCCTGTACCCCCTGTGCTCCTGTCCCCATCCCGACACCGCCCCGTGTGCTCCTGTCCCCATCCCACACCGCCCCCTGTGCCCCGTGTGCTCCTGTTCCCATCCCACACCACCCCGTATGCTCCTGTTCCCATCCCACACCTCCCTCTGTGCCCCGTGTGCTCCTGTCCCCATCCCGACACCGCCACCTGTGCCCCGTATGCCTGTGCCTCGTGTCCCTTGTCCCTTGTTCTTGTATGCCCATCTCTGCCACCTGTGTCATGTGTCCGTGTGCCTGTGTCCCTGTGTCCTGCCATCACTGCCTGTGTCCTCCTGTCACTGTTCCCATGTCCTTGGGGCCATTTCCTTTGTGTCCTTTGGCCCCTGTCCCCTGACTCCTGGGCCCTTATCCCTTCGTGTCCTCATTCACTTTTCCCCTCTGCCCCCTGTTCCATATGTTCTTGTCCCCTGTGTCCTCATGCCCCTGTGCCCCATGTTCTCCTGCTGCTGTCCCTTGTGTCTTCATACAACCATTCCTTGTGTCTCCATGCCCCTGGCCCCTGTGTCCCTGTGCCACTGGCTCCCATGGCCCTTTGCCACTGTCTGCCACGCCAAGGTGACATTGCATCCTCTGTCTTCATGTCCCTGGCCTCAGTGTTCCTCTGCTTCCTCTGCCCTGCCACCCTCTCTGCTGTGCCTTCTCTTACTCCCATGTCCCATCATGTCCCGTTTGTTCCCTGCCTTTCCATGTTCCTATGTCCTCTATTCCGCCTGTTCCCTCATGTCCCACCATTCCCAGCTGCACTGCCCAGCTCCAGCCCCTTGTGCCCAAAGGCCACGGGCAGCTGCCCCATGGATGTGCCCAGGTCCAGCCCAGGGTGCCCGCAGTCCCAGCTGGTGAGAAAGGGGGGCCCAGCTGGCCGTGGTGAGCCCCAAGTGGCTGCAGCCCCCCAGTCCACTCCAGTGCCAGGCCAGGGTGTGAGGGGCACCCAGGCAGTGGGACCAGGACCTGCCCAGGGGGACCATGGAGGCCACAGGCTGTGGCTCCCAAAGGCATTGGGCACCAAAATGTCAGGGAGTAGCTCTGGGAGCAGGCACTCCACAGAGTCCCCATCACCTGGGGGACCTATCCTCGCTAGCAGAGGTGTCCCCAGCAGAGGACAGTAGTGGCACAGGCAGCGTCTGGCAGCAGAGACCCTCCGTACAGCTGGACACAAAAACCACCCCAAAGGCTCAGGGCAGCCCTGCTGGGACCCGAAATCTGGGGTGGTGCTGTGCCTCTGCTGGGAATGCCGGGCTGCCTGGGAAGGAACGGGGCAATGCCCCCCTCCCACGAGCCATTGCTGAATTGGGGTTAAACCCCAGCTTTTCCCGCTTTTGCCCTGCCCGCGGCACGCCGGGCAGCGGTGCTCGGGTGCCACGTGCAGGGAAGTTTGTGCCAAGGCAGCGGAGCGTGGCGGGGCCAGGGCTATTCCTGGCTCCCAGCTGATGTTTGGCCGAAGCGGGCTCTTGGTTTTGGCGGGCTCTTGGTTTTGGCGGGCTGTAATTTTAGCAAGGGCTGTTTCCAGGCTGCGGGGCTGCGGTCAGAACAGCTGCCTGTGAGGGTGCCTGGCTCAGCTGGGGGGCTGTGATGTGCATCAGCACCCCTGCCCACAGCCACCCGGGGGGTCTGGCCAAAAGTGCCCAAAACATGGCAGAAATGTTTAAACCTGGTGGTTTTTCCCCGCAGTGGCTGCAGGGGAAGGGCAAAGGGCTGTGGCTCTGGTGTGGGCCGGCAGCATGAGCACAGGGTGGGGAGCTCTTGCTGAGGGTGTCACTGGCTGGAGCAGGAACCCAGAACCCTTAGGAATGGAAAAGCTGTCTAAGATCATACTGACACTGCCAGCTCCAGCCATGTCCCTGAAGACCACATCTACAGGATGCAGGGTCCAGCCCCAGGTGCACCCAATGTTCTCCTCCACTCCCCACCACTCTGTCTGCTCTGCCCACCATGGCTGTGGAGAGGGAAAAAGGAAAATTTGGCTAAAAGTCCTCCCTAACTGGGTGAGCCTAACCCCAGGGCCTGGTGTGGACCCTGGCAGCCACCCCCATCACGCCCCTCAGCCACCACTGCCACCACCTTGTTGTCACCATGCCACCAATGTTCCCTACCTAGAAATTTCTTAACATTAAACTAAAAGGTCCCACCCAGAGAGTCATAACAAGGTCTGCAATTCAATAACCATATTTCTTCACACAGGGAGCACCAGCCCTGCAATCAAATCTTTATCAGCACACCTGACTGGGGATCAGCACTTGTTTACCTCAAATATGAGAGAAAACAAGGGTTTGCTGAGTCCCCAGACCAGGCTGAGGCTCTCCTGGGAATTACATTTTACTACCACAATAAAATTGAAATAATAAATATTTTGAAGCAGCTGAAAGGTGTTTATTTTTGAGTCGGTTCAGCTTGTTTACAATCTGCTTACAAGCCCGGGCACTTATCTTTGGGGCTGTTTACTGGGCTCTCCCCCAGGCTCTGGTGTGGTTTCATACACATCTAAATAACCCCCAGCTAGGGGGTACCTTCCTGCCAGCTGCGTGTCCTGGCAGTTGCTGTTTTGACACAGTTATGCAAATGATTGCTCTCGTCTTCGCAAATGGGCTTGAATGCTCAGGTTGTGTTTTCGACCACACCAGCCTGAAACATTTCTTTATTTCATTTAATTCTCTTCCAATTGCAGGGCAATAAACCCTTGTCTTGCGCTCTCTGGCTGTCTCCAGCTGTGGCTTTGACCCAGGGCTGCCCAGAGGTGTTTGATAGTATTTTGTCATTCATTACTTGTATTTTATAATTTGTATCTTGCATTTTATTAATTTATAGCATGTATTTTATTAATTTATAAATTTATTTCCCAGACTTGGGGAAACCTGTCCCATAATTTGTGAACCTGGAGGCTGCTCCTGTACCCTGCAACAGGTCAGACTGAGGGATGACCCCAGAGAAGGGGCTGCCTTGGCAGCAGGCAGGGAGTGATTAGTTTAACTCAGTAAATGAGTGAGTAAATTCAGGGCGACCTGACAGCAGGGTAGCAGCAGGAAGCTGTTCAGGCTGGTCCCCCTGTGGTGGTGGCACAATGTGAGCAGTGTCAGGGTCTCTCCTGGCCTCAAGGCCCACAGCTGTGGGGTCAGTGTTGCCCATCCCGGGGCTGGATGCACTGGGGTCACTGGGGGTGTGTGTGCACATATCTGCACACACGGTGCAATGTGTGTGCACACTCGTGTGTGTGCATGTGTACAGCAGCTGGGACATCCCACACCAGGGCAGGGACCACCCTGTCAGGCAAGACCCCAGTGGCTGCCCTGTCAGGGACCCTCAGGGGACAGGAGGTGTGACCCTGGCCTGGGGACACGTACCCTGCTATGGCACAGAGTCTTGGCACAGCCTTGGCACCAGCCCCCAGTGGGTCCCTGTTCAGCACCACCCACCCTGCCAGCTTTGGGCAGCATCATGCCACCCCAATGCCTTTCCCCCATCTCAGGGGCTGATGTCCCCCAGAAGGTGATGACCCCCAGGGTGAGAGCCCGGTGAGGCAGGGACACAGAGCTGGCCACCATCTCAGGGCTGAGCCCACTCGGGCTCGGCCGCGTGGCGCTCACTTGCCTTCACACGTCAGCACCCACTGGAGACAGTTTCACTTCCTTTTTTGGGGGGCCCTTTTGAACTTCTGATTGGGGGCTGTAGTGGGTGAGGAGTAAATTTAGCCAGGGGATGCCCCACTGCTGCACAGCTGCACGGTGGGGCTGGCTGGGGGAAAACAGGAGCCAGTGCTGTCGTGGCACAATGTGGGCTCTGCACAGCCTTTCCCCAGGTCCTTCAGAGAAGAGAGTGATGTGAGTGCAGGGTGTGTCAGGATGGGGTGCAGGAACCAGCAGCA